TATATATACACACACACAGATATATATATATATACATATATATACATATATATATATATACATATATATATATACATATATATATATGTATATAGAGATAGATGGATGGATGGATGGATGGATGGATGGATGGATGGATGGACAGATAGATAGATAGGCATACATATATACATAATATAATATATACACATTATATACATACATACATATACACACACACACATATATATATATATATGTATATGTATATATGTATATGCGCATACCTATGTGCGTACATACATAAAAACACATGTTTACATACATACATATACACACATATGTAGATATAAATAGATAAATAAATAAATAAATATAAATATATATATATATCTGCATACACACACACATATATATATATGTATATATAAATGTCTATATACACCACTTGTTCGCTGAACCAGTTTAGACACATGCGAGGGCAAGGCAGGGTCCTCGAGGTTTCTTGTAACCTTCGGCCGGGCTGTCGGCAGGGCGGTAGCCTGTCGGAAGCGATCTGAGGAGACTCCAGAAAAGGTTGATCTGCGCAAGTACATGACGCATGTGGAGGACGCTCCCTGTCAGGTTGACATGTGCCGAGGTTTCACGTAATGAAGTCACCCGAACTTGCTGCCTATGTGAGGATCAGTCTCAGACCAACAGTTGCTGCGCAAATGCCGTGGCGGGAGCCTACGAGTGCGCATAGACACTCCAGCACACAACCACGTGACACATGGACTTCAGAACCGCTGCGCCGCGTCTGCTTCTGCCCCAGGTACATCAACAAGAGACATGCCATGCAAACTGGAGATACCACGGCAGACATTTCACGGATGTTTATTTATTATGTGGGACGGAAGAAGGACCAGATGTCATTCCACGAGGCGGGAGCGGGAGCTGGGCTGCATCTGTGCCGGGACTTTCCGCCGTGCTGCGGAGGATACATCGGTCCAGCCCAAGGACGAAGGCATGACCTTGGGAGGGGCCATCAGTGCCCTGCAGCTGAAACTCGTTTCATTTCGACCGCAAGCGAAAACATGCTGGTGGCCGAAGCCTCAAATCTCAGGAAAGGGGCCTGCCTTGAGAAGAACTGGCCTTTTGAGCTATCGCGCGTGAACGACCAGCCCAGCCGAGCCTGCTTTGACGAAGCCGTCGCAGCCTCAGGAGATTTGAGGTGTATCTGAGAGCCTTCAATTCGTCGGCACCTGTCAGCTCGTGCCTTGCGCCGTGCATTTCAAGAGAAATTGATTGTCCTTGATCCTCGGCCTGGGTAGAAGTTTCGCATTCTTCTTGAGCTTCTGTAGAGTGAAGCTGCATACCGGTGGAGGCAGCGCATAGCTTGCTCGAAATCCTGAAGTCGCAAGCATAGGGCACGTGACATGGACTTAACAGCTCATGCTGCTCACCTCTAGCTCATTCGTCGTGGATGGCGGAAGCCAGGTCTGTGTACTACTTGCGAGTTGTAGGTCTCTTGGTACCGTGACAAGCCAGCTGTAGCAACAAATAGCCTCGAGGTCCAGTTCAAGGTGGCCGAATCCAAACAAGTCCCGGTGGATCTTGATGCTATGAGGGAGTGTCTGGCCGAAGGCAGGGTCACATGCATCGAGCCGTGGGCTGTCAGCTGTCGCTGCAACCGCGACGGATTGACAACCCAAGCCACTGCTGCAAATACTCGCCCCGTGCCCAGGGCATCCCATTGTTTTCGGTTTGAAGTTGACTGCGCAGCATGGGCCTTAGCAAACCGCCGAAACTCAATGGTGGCAGACTCGTGGCACTTGAGGTTTTTCAAGCCGCTCCCTGGCGGTGGCATCCAGACCCCGGATCCTTCAGACCCCCAGTCTTCGGAGCACGGTCTCCACGCGATGCTTATCGTGGGCTACAATGACAGACAGGCTCGGACTGACTTGGTGACTGCGGCAAGCGCCCAATTGCGCATCTTCCCGACCCGACTCAGGAATGCTTCATTGTCCGCAACAGCTGGGGCACCTCATGGGGTGATCGGGGCTATGGGTATGTCCCATACGACTACATTTGCAACTCGGACTTCAACTTCCTGGGTCAGTATTGTATCGTTGGCCTTACACAGGTGGACTTCACGCCAGATCCGGACGACGGCAACAATTACAACTACCAGCAGGATGGAGACTATGAAGTCGATTACGAGGAGGTTACGGACGACGAGGGGGAAGATGTCGAAGATGACTTCGATCCGGCTGAAGAGTTCGACGAGAGAAACGAGGCGGCGCGCGTCTTCAAGCTGTTCGACCGTGACGGAACTGGGTCCATCGACCAGGGTGAACTCTTTACTTGCTTCCTGTTCAATGGCATCAAGGTCAGTCCAGCTGAGATCCCGAAGCTCTTGGCTGATCATGACCTCGACGGGGGCGGCCACCTTGACTTCGAGGAGTTTTACTCCGTGATGAAAGCTGTTCAGCACCGGAAGGGAGGTTTACCCTGCTTCTGATTCTCGGTGTTGCAGGCCGCATATTCTTTTGTCACTAGCTGTGTATATTACTCGACATCCTGTGCTTAGGCTTCTTCTCACACGTCCAATGCTAGCTGCGACATTAGCAGCTTAATTAGCTGTGCAGAGCCTTCGCCGGGTGAGTTCGCAGAAGTTTTGGGAAAGAAATGGTGTGAAATGGCCTCAATGCCGAAGCTCGCCCTCAAGGCTGTTTGACGTTGTGCTGTTGTGGCTGGAGGTGACGAGCGCGCCCTGCAGGTGCTCGTTTCCAGCCTACAGGAGCGGGGTGACGCTGTAGTTGGTGGGGGTTCATGCTTTGCTTCGCTCGGTAGGGGCGACGGGCCATTGTTTTGGCCTTGCCACGCAGGACTGGCCAGCCAGTGTGCGCAACGCTGCTCTGGACGGCTTGGCAGAGGTGTTGCCGAACTTCCAACCTTGCTTAGCTGTTGCTTCTGGTGTGAGATCGGCCGGTATCGCACCTCCCAAGATCGGAAGCCCACCCTCCCTGAAAGCTCCTGCACGCCGCAACATCCTGCGCAAAACGTTTTGGCTTCTGAGCAGCGCCAGATGCACAAGCTCACTGGCCACGCAACAGCCCTGAATGCACTCCAAAGAACGGTAGTGACCTGGTAGTGCGGTCCCATGCCCCCGCCGGGCGTGCAGTTGCCCAGGAGTTGTATGATACCACCGGTCAGATGAGCATTGCATAGCTAGCTAGCAATCTCAGAGGCCAAGACCCGAGAGATATAAGGGTCGAAATCAGTGCTGCGCCCGGCAGGACAAAAAGCTCGACGGCGAATAGCCCGTGTTCGAGGCTGGGGTGCTTCGAGTTGGTTCGCCCGGCCTTTGTCAATCTGATACCTGTGTCATGAGGTTCGGGGGCGTAAGACAATGATTTTGCAGGTACACGAAGTTTAAGTTGTGGGAATGGCCGCATGGATCTGCAAATTTGACTGCAATCCCCGGTACATGTATGAACGCTGTACTTTACGTAGCTTACATAAGTGGGACTTAGCCTGAAGACTTCCCTTACTTGTTGAGATATTTTGAAGATGCCAAGGGCCTGAACAAGCTGTCGTCGGCACTGTGCTGAAGTAGATGTTTGGGCCACGAGCCCCGGAGCCGATCATCGTAGTGTGAAGGGTGGACGTAGTCAGCGAACGAACGTCGGTCCGACTCAAGAGTTTAGAAATGTTTGACAGCAATAGCTCTTCAGGGCGGGCGAAGTATCTTTCGTCGGGAATAGCATGGCGGAACAGATGGAAGATCTCTAGAAGCCAGTTCAACCGACATAAGGCGAGATCATGTCTGTCAAGGCAGCCTCACCTCGATGCCTTGGCGCGGTGGGCACGAGCCGGGCGATGGGGTCAGGTGGCCAACGTGCTGGCACGCATGGAGCAGGCTCGGAGTGTTGTACGAAATTTATAAATCCAGCTTGCAATGTTAGGATGTTCAGCCATTCCTGTGCTCCGGTGGAGTCAGGGTCGAGTGGCGGCCGGGCCACAATACATAAATGTAACGGTTCGGTTCGGTTCGGCTGCGGTTTTGAAACAGCGGTTCCGGTTCATGCGGTTCGGTTTCTCCGTCGGTTCCTGCGGTTCGGTTCGCGGTTCCTGGCGGTTCTTAAATTAAATTTCGTAAACCCTGAACAAAGCATCTGCCCGTACACACGTCCCAGATGGTGTTGCCGCCTATTTCTACCACCGTCGCCACTTCTCGTCTACTGCTACTTCACACCACCATATATTACTACCACCACCATTCAAGCGGGCTTCCGGCGGGCAGCTCCGGTCGGTCGGGCCGGACGCGGGGGAGTCCAGGGTTTGGGCTTAAGTCGACCAAAATCCTGGACTCCCCCGTGCAAACGGCCCGTGGGGCCGGACACGGAGAAATCCAGAATTTCGCGCTTTTGGGCCTTAAGTCGGTTGTGGATTCTCCCACACACAGGTTTCGCGCTTTTTGGCTTTAATTCGGCCAGAATCCTGGACTCTCCGCTCGGCCGGCGTGGGGCCGGACGAAGCGGAGTCGGAGCCAGGTTTCGCGCTCTTGAGCCTTAATTCAGCCGGGACGGTGGGCCCGGACGCGGAGTCCCCCTGACACCCCCGGTAGTCCCTGACCCGGATGCTTTTGATGCTCGAACGCTTGCTGGAATGCGACTAAGACCCTTCCAAAGGGCCCGGCATGCTCTCGATGCTGGATTTTGAATGCTTTGGAATGCTGTTGTTCAGCCAGATCCAAACGCATTTCCGTCCTGTAAAAGACAGAAACATGCATTCCCTCGCAGAGGAACAGAAGGTTCCATGCCTCTAACAACCGGTTCGGTTCCTTACCTTTCATGATAATAGCTGACATGCCTGTGCCTCCTTGTTGATTCAGGCTGGAATTGAGCCCGCGGTGGCAAGCCGGCGCCTTGAAGCACCTTGTGCAGTCAAACGAAGTTGCTTCCTTCCGTGCGGAGCAAGAGCGTCTGTCCCGACATGAGTTTTGCGGGATGGTGCGCGTATCGGCGTCCAACAACCAGACGTCCGGAAGTGCCCTCAGTCATCGCACTGCGCTATCATGCCAAGGCATCAACATCGTTGTGTCTGCTGCAGCATCTGCCATGCACTGGTTGAGGCGGGGACCGGCCGTGAGTAAGCCCCCAACTTCACCTGACCACGCCAGCGTGCTTCTGCATTCTCGCTGCTTTGCGGCTGCCTGTGTCTTGTGGCAGGGCCCTTCAGGCCGCAACAGAGGGGCGAGGCAAGCCATTAGATTAGACTAGCTGATTGCTCGTTGTGGCCATTCGAAGCACTTGGAGGAGGAAACTTGCTCGTGCAGCAGTTGTAGGGTTGATGCCTGCACCTGCTCGCCATGCACTGCACTTCGTGAAGTTCATGCTGTGCGAGTTTTGATCAGAAAGCTCGTGTGGGGCACGACCGATGCGCATGAAAACATTTTCTGTCCTGGGAGCAGATGCTGGTATCCCTGGCGATGCTGTCGGCACAGTGCCCAGAAGTGCAAATCGCTTCAGTAGCCAGGTCTTGGGCTGTTGCTGCACTTCCCAAGCAAGAGCAGATACAGATACGACAAGAGCAGCCACGTCTCTCCGTGCTTCGACAAAGCGTGTAACATGCAACATCATTTTCAAGTCCAGCGGTTTCGGCCAAGAACACTCGAGCGAGACGTTTACAGCAGAAGGTGGACAGAGGATCGGCAGGGTTGAGGGGCGGGAGTTTGGTATTGGGGTTGATAATGGGGGACGTGATTGTCATCTGCCCACACAGCAGCCTCCGAGTCGCGCTAACAAAGTCAAGGCCCTTGAGTGGATGGGGTCGCTTGCGAGGAACTCTGTATCCACAACAGTAGGGGACGTCGCTTTTCATCTTGGGCGCACCCAGGAGAACAGAACTCTGGAAATCTTACTCTGGCTGCCTCTGTCTGTCCGGTCCGGTCCGGTCCGGCCCGCCTGTCTGTCTGTCTGTCTGTCTGTCTCTGTCTATGAGTGCCATGATACAGACATGTGTCAAGCATGCGGCTGTCTGCTGCTGCAGGAGTGCTGAGTGATCGAAGGGACGGGAGCTCCACACTCAGGTCAGACATCGGTGCTACACCTGTGCAAACAGCTGTGCCTTGCTTGCAACTTATTTGCAGCCGGGGGTCAAGATGCGGCAGACCGAGTCCGAGTCCCTATCACAGAACCTATCACAGAGCGGATCCAATGAATGAGTACAGAGTTCGCGTGCCACCACCTACTGGACCTGCACGAATGTGATGGAACCCTAGCCCTAGTCGTGGTCTTGCGCGGCCTTCCGTCAGGCGACGCTGGCAGCTTGCAGTGCACCATCTGCAAAGTCTGCCGCTGCAGGGAGCATCAGCCTTAGGCATGTCTTTCGCCGCAATGACGCCTGGCTTGTCGTCGCTGAGGTGCAATGCAACGCCATCCACGTCCATGTGGTGCTCAGCAGCATGCCACAGGCCCGCCGGAAGTCCGAACAAGCGACCATACCCAGCGGGCAAGGGAGGGAGAACAAGAGGCATGGGACCGCTGGAGTTGGCCAGGAGTTCGAATGCCACACAGGGCTGCTGCACAGCATGTGGCGCCGCAATCAGCTCGCGAGGGTACCAGGACACTACACCCTGTGCTGCACAGGAAGATTGGCCCAAGACAGTCGCCCTATTCCGAGAGCTGTCCTTGCAGGCTGTGTTGCTCGGCAGCACTTAGCCCGGTAGGATGGGCTCTCTCCTAAATTGAGTTTCTCTGCTACATCTAGCAGAAGACGTCCCGACACAGGACCTTGGATGCAGTCGCTCGGAGACCGCTACTGCGTTCGCAGTGGCAGCATGCACTGGCTGAGGCGGAAGCACTTTTCGACAGAGATTACTGCTGACTGTCAGGGTAACACAGAGAGAGAGAGAGAGAGAGAGAGAGAGAGAGAGAGGGAGAGAGAGATAGATAGATGCGAGCTCGACTTCATTGCTGAAAGTCTTGACAGTTCGCGTGGAGATGTCACGGTGACCTCGCATCAGCGTCATCGTTCACTGCCGCAGCTCGGATTTGGGCATGATTCGGATTCTGGGACTGTGCCAAAGCTGTTGACTGGATGGCTTGTGGACTGGGTTGAGATCCGTGTGTATCCGTGTCAATCAGACCGCATGCCTAAGGCCTGCTCAGCAGCAGGAGTATGGACACAGGCGCGTCCGGCAGAGCTTGGAGCAGTAGATGCAGTGCCAAGCGTGGACACAGGCGCTGGTTGTGTGTCAACGATTCTGGGGCTACGCTGACCGCCTCTTGGCATGTGTTGTGTCTCTCCAGATAATGTGGGTTGGCATACCGCGGCATAGCTGCAACTGCACTCGTCGACGATGATACGGGGGTTCACCCAAGTTCACCCTGCACGGGCCGGGGTTCGCGAAAGATCAGAGAGTCAAGAGAAGGAGCGACAGCATAATGACGTCTAGCAGCTCGTGTGGTTTGTCATGTTCGTGGAAGCTTTTCCGACGATGCGAACCTGGCTGCTCTGCTTTTTGCAGGCATTTGCTTCAACTCGGCTGCTTCCGCCTTTGAGCGTGCTGGACCATGGCAATTCGCTGCTGCTCGCAGCAAGATTCGTGCAAGCAGTGCTGTTGCGCTTGAATTTAGCCTTAGGTTCGGCTGTTTGCTGCTCCCACCAAGAACGAGGCTACTTCCGCGTAGAAGAGCCTGCTCGTCGGAATCCTTCTGCGTTTTTGCGGTCCCTGCATGTTGCAGGAACCTGATGAAACTGGACTGGCCTCAGCGCAGATCGCCGTGAGCAGCGGAGGCGCGCACTGTCGCTCGTTAGTATCACCCTTAATTATTATCAACCGGCAGAAATTGCGTTCAGGTGCATGGCGCGCGAGGCTGCTGCTGCTCGAAAATGCCAAGCATCAGGCATGTTCAGACGGTTGCACGATGTGCTTATGCAGACTTACCTCGGTGAGATGCAGGGGTTGGACCGGATGTTGCCGGACTTGCAGTGCCCTCGTCAGCTGTTTGGCCCAGCTTGTCACCGCTGTCAGCGACGTGCGGCTTATCGTTTTTATGATGTCTTACGACGTCTTACGACCTTCAGACTCATCCAAGGCTTGTAAAGAGTCTTGCGTGCTTGCCTAGGAGATTCTGCGAGCCATAGTTATGGGTCATTGCGAAGCCTCGTTTTCTGCCATTTTTGTCGCCATGGCCAAGAGCTTGCAGCCGCGCCGTTTGTCTTGCGCTGGCCTTCTAGGCCGCCCGGGATGTTTCATCCTGTGATGTCTTGTGTTCTGTGGGAGCATGCGTTCTCAAGGCCTTCTGCTCCTCTCTGCCGTCGTTGTCGTGCCAGTCCCGGCGCCCAGTCCATCCTGGCATAGGTGTGGGATTGTCACATGCAAGCACAAGCATCTGGCCAGGTTGGTTTCAGTGGCTGGTCCTCCTCTGGGCACTCGAGGCCTGTCGAGTCTGCGAAGAGCAGGCCGGGTGCCGTGCACTTTGCGTGCGCTTTCAGCGGATTCGGATGGAATGTTTCCGCAGGACTGGTACGGCAGATTGGTTTGCTTCTCTCTACCGGCCGGCCGGGCCATCTTCCCAGTTCAACGTGGCTCGGCTTGGCGTGGCTTTGCTATAAGTGGCATTTCGCTTCTACGGCCCATTCAACCGCGTGAGGTGGAGAGTTCCACGCTGATCTCTCTGGCAACATCCATGCTTGTTGCTATGACCCTTTGCTTTTTGAGGTTCAATCCGGGTCCTCTAGCAAGATAGATCGTAGCTTGCAAGCTTGTGGCAGGCCTGGGTTGGCCGTGGCTGCAGATAACCTTGCGGCTGTGGCCCCCTGTTTGCTGAGCAAGTGCCAGCCGCTTGCCCTAAACACTTCGCACGGCAACGGCGGCTGTGGCTTCTACTTGTAGGATTCTAAAGGCCGCTCAAGAATGGAAAGCGGTAACTTTTCAGCTTCTGAGGCTTCCTTTGGCGAAGTGCATCTTGAACCCGAGCTGCGCCGCCGACCTGCCCGAAGCTTAGTGTCAGTGCCAAGAAGCCGAATTCAGGAAGTCCCTGGTGCAGTGCGCTGTGAAACTCTGGCTGGCGAGATTGGGCTTTGAATGTTAGGTTTTGAGTGCCCCACACTTGGTTTTTGCCTATCTATCAGGACTTGCGTCATCGCCTGTTCGGGGCGCCCGGACGAGTCCAGCTGTCAGAAGCATGGCTGCAGGCCACAACTCTTCCAGATGTGGGTGATGTGTCTTGATTCCGCTTTGGCTGAGGATAAACTGCGGCAACAACTTCGAAAACGACGTGGTCGTGCAATTCAATGCCTGCGCTCTGAGTGCCAAGAAATGCACCTTGGCAGCACAGGCCCTCTAATTTCCTCTCCAGGCAGTTCAACGCATGCTTTGGCTCCAGGGTGTCGCATGCTTTGGCTTGAGGGTGTCTCTCCACAATGTTGGGCTGTGAGGCGTCCCGCAGCGTCCGGACAAAGGCCCTGTTCCGGGAGACTTCAACTGGGATCCGGTGAAAGGCCGTGGCGCACTCAGCTGCGAGGGCAGACCTTGACAGCTGGCCTTCAAGTCTCCTCTTTGCTGCTCAGGATATCCGGAACCGCCGGCTGAGTCGGTGTCGGTCATCGGGTTTTGAAACTGGGGGCAGTGATAGAGCTGGCAGAGTCCTGGAGCCAAATGTCAGAGCGTGAACTTAAGATTGCTACCGCAATCCTTGCAGGAGGATTTCGAAGTCGCCAAGATGACAGGACGATGGTACATTACCGCCGGTCAGGGCCTGAGCCAAGCAGAAGCGAAGCTTAGCCTTTAGGCTCTGCTAGGCTCCCAAGCCAACTGCTCTCATCCTCGAGGCTTGAACCCTCTCTTTGACACCTTCGACTGTCAAGTTCACTTCTTCGAAGGACCTGTTTGATGAACCTACTGGTACATGCTATGTATCTTTCCAGAGTGTGCAAGATGCCGCAGGAATGGCACCGAAGGAAAACACGCCCGGTCGACTTGTCGGAAAAATTAATTGGTTGTGCGCTCAGATCGGCCGATGTAGACTTTAGACCTAGACTACAAGGCCCACTTGAGTGGACATCTCAGGCGCATTAACGAGGTGGACGGCGAGTTCATCTCCCGATCGACTGTCCAGAGCTCCTCGAACACTGCAGAATTCAGTTAGCAGGTTAGCGGTCCAAGTTTTCCGTTGCGCTGCCATGCCGCATTCTACCGCATGTTGCCAGATCGAGCCATTCCAGAGCGTTCCAGGCTTTGTGCAAGCAAAGCCGGGCAAGTTGGAGAATCATGGAAACGAGTACTTGCACTACCAGGTTGGACTAGGCTCAGGCAATGTGCGATTGTCAGGCATTGCGCCTTCCGCACGCCCGCAGGATGATTGGTACGTCTTGGACCACGGCGACGAGGACGACCCCGAGCTTGGTTTTGCTCCTTCACAGCAAAGCTTGCACTTGGGACAGCTTCTAGCTTGCGCTTCAAAGTGCTGCTCTCGTGTTGAAAGCAACTGCGATGAGCTTCACACTCATGCAAGCTCTCGTGTTTCTGGAGACCTTGAGGTCCTCATCTACTACAGGGGGCAGCTCCCTGTCTGAAGAGGGATTGCTTGTGACTTGTGAGCTGTGTAGCAGTGTAGCGTGCTCGGACACCTCCCGCAGCACAGCAGCCGCTGCTGACAGTCTGTCCTACCGGTCGTCGCGGGAGTGGTAGTCGTGGCAGCTGGCAGTCGTAGGGGCTGCTGGAGTCGTAGGACATGTAGGACGTGGTCATCGTCATAGTACTAAGAGCAGGCATTGTCGCTGCACGGTCCCGTCTACATTGGTGCTAGCGATGTACGTGCGCCAATGAAATGGCATTATACGTGCAGGCCTGCATTACACAACATCTTCTGTTGAACACGAGACCTGCACAAGGAACGATGCATGGGCAGGTTATGGCGGTGGTACGCTCTACACGCGCGCAAAGACGGTGCCGCCGCAGCCTCTGGGCTGGGATTGGGTGATTGACGGGGCGGCTCCTTCGTTTCACATGGTGACCGGACCAATGTCCACGTGTCCGGTTTCTCCGAGGTAGCTGTGTTTCGCGTGAGCAACATTCAGAATGCAGTCGGCTGCCGATTGCAACAAAGGATCATGGAGAGGGTCAGGGAAGCAACGGCAAAGGCAAAAGTACCCTATGACAAGTTCTGGAAGGCGCAGACTGCAGACATTCGCATCAGTGTCTTGTGTAGTACCCTTTTGCTTTGGTGCAGTCTTTTTTGCATGCGAAACAATGCGTGCCATAGTGCCAGGCCACAGACAACTCTTGTCCTGTTGAGGGTGACCCAGCCAAACTTCGCACGCAACTCCCATGCACTGGACCTGTGACTCACAGCCTGTGTTGAATTTCGTGGTCGTCGTGGATTTCATGTCGGAGCCTGCTTCCATGTTCCCCTACAACTGAGCACGAGGAAGTACGCTGAACGGCTCATTGAGCAGGCAGAGCTGCGAGCGGAAGAGTCCCTTAGCTGAGTTTCAGGAGACCTAAGACTCAGACTCACTAAAGTGGCCGCCACACCACATTCTGCATGCGAGACAGGTGGGGTTGTCTTTTACACTCAGCACATCTCTGAAATCAGGCAGCTGACACGCCTTGCTCGGAAAACAATCTCGAAGGTGGACATGGAAGAGATGCTTGGAAAGAAGCTGGAGCTAGCCAAAAGCAGTTCATGGGTTTGTCGTTGTGCCAAGACTCAAACAGACATATCACGGTTGAACCGACGGCTCACAACGACCCATCCAGGAAGGAGATTGCACAGGCCGCCCAGCGACTTGAGAAGATGACGGAGGTGTGGATGTTATGCGTCAGACTCCGGTAGCCCAGCGCGAGCGTCATATCGATGAAGAATCTATCTCGGCATGTCTCAAAGCAAGCTGAAGTCCAAAAGTTCTTGCTTGCCAGAAATTCGTTCGCGAAGAGCTGCGGGTTACGGAGAAAGCGTGCCCTGGCTTGAGCTAACGGGAACCTAGTCAAGCTCGCAAGCTGCAAATGTGATGTGCTGTCATGAGGCTACAAATGATGTTGACATGTGCCGACATGATTGGATGTTCAAGATCGCATGTAGTGCAATGCGAGGATCGAGGATGAAGAGCTTGCGACGCTCGGCAGAATACAAGTCAGCTTTACTCCTTTTTCTACATTTTCGAACCAGTTGTGATCTTCGAGCTCCTTGCCTTGTCGGAAGTGTGCCGAGGTTGGAGGCACCTTTGCGAAAGCTCAAGCAATTCTTCACCCCCAAACCTCCGCCGCGCCGCTGATGGTGAGCTGCGAGTCTCCCTCTGGCCGGGCCTCCGAAACACTGCGGGCTCGCCCCAGATGCTTCGCTTGGATCGCGATGCCTGTGAAATCGCTACGTCTTGCCAGGTTTGAACAAGCCAAAGGCGATAACTTCGCTGGAGAGGTGACAATTATGCCGCTTCGGTGTGCAAACTGCCAAGATGGACACGTTTCAGGTGCAGATTTTCAGCCGACAGAGTAGAGACTCTGAAGCAGTCGAGCCAGCCTTTTTATTTCAATCTGGCGGACCGGCGGCTAGGGCGCGCTTGCGCAAAATCGAGCTCCCACATGCAAGCTCTCGTCTCTCGTGACTTTGGACCTCAGCCCAAATCTTCCGACTGCGTTTCGCTCTCCAACGTGCCGCAGCCAGGCCCTGAGACCGCATCTGATGCTCTCTACTTTCGACCCCGGCAGCTAAGCCGAAATCAGGTTTGCAGATTAGATCACACAAATTCACATAAGAGCATTTTAGAGCAGTTGCCTTGGGAAGCGGACCTTCAACCTTCAGATGTCAGTGTTGTGACGTGACATTGAAATGCATGCGTTGTCATGTTGTGTTGTGATCAGGCACGCTGCGATCAACGCCCAGCCTTTGGTTGCAAGTGCTAGAGTTTCGTGCAGCGGCTTGGTTTGGATGGTGTTGGGCGAGTCGTGTGGCGCGAAGTGGGATGGCACAGGGCCATGCTGAAGAGTTCGCGGCCAGCGCAGAGGGCCTGCAGGAGGGTGCGCACAGCTCTGTTTCGCCTGCTGAAGAGCGCCTTGTTGGCCTGCAGTCTTGAGTGTCTTTTTGCCATATATGGCGAGGAGGCCTCTCGCTGGATCGAGGCACGGTCTTCAGAAGATTCATTGTGGGAGAGCGCTTGTACCTTGTTGAGGCTTGCGATCTTTTGATCCGCCTTGCCGCCAGCAGAGCCGACCAAGCGAATAGCTGGAGAGTGGTGCCTCGGAATACCTGGGACACATCGCCGAGGGTGCAGTGGCCTGACAGGGCACCGGTGCCTTCGAGGCCATGCGCAGACTGACCGTTGTCATGTCCGCGCAGACCCAAACCTGGCAACGGTCCCTGGCTGCTTTGACAGCTGCCCAACGCTCGGGCCTGCGGCCTGCTACGAGCCTTGCCTGAGCCTTGGCAAACGCAGGGAGTGAGATTCCAAGAAGCCCTCAACCAAGGATTCACCACGATGGGGGAGCGAGCGCTCTCGAGAAAGGGCTCCAATGGGAAGGAGCCTGCAAGTCACCCGGCGGGACACAGGAACTTTGGGCAAATCTCCGGCTCAAAGCTCAGGCTGTTGGGGCTGATGCCTTCCAGAAGGATGAGCCCTCGAGCCCAAGGCCGCTCCCCAGTGTTGTCTTCGGTCTTCGCTCCCTCTGGATTCTTCGCTCTGTCTCAGGCTGCAACGCTGGAGTCGCTGCGTGTGCCAAGGGCGAGCAGTGGCCAATGTCGCTGCGCTGGATTCTCTGCATGTCCAAGGACACTCTGACCCCCGATGAGATGAGCTTCTTGGACTGAAGTCTGTCTAGGCGCATGTTCACCACTCAGAGGGCGGTGGCTTCTACTGCGCAGTACCTAGCCCGGCGCGACTGTTGGAAAGCGCATCCGCGTAAACCAGCCCCTTGAGCATCCATTAATTACGCCATTTAAGCCAACCTCGAGGCCTTGGGTCCTTCATCTGTGCGGCTGATGCCCATGCATGGCGGCAAGTGCTGGGGCTCTTGCTGTGCTTCTTGGCTTGAAGGTTCGACTTGTCGCCGGTGCTCGAACGCAAGGCTACGAGCATGCAAAACTGTGCCACAGCCTGTTTTTTTTCTCAATGTTTTCTGTCTCGTGGGCTGCTCATTGTACGAGGTCTTGATCCAATGAATTCGCTGTGGTCTCCGACCTTTTTCCCATGGGCTTTGGCCAAGCTGGGTGCCTCGGGCAAAACCGCATGTCCTGGTCTTGTTCTCATTTGCAGCCACGCCCTGTCCACTACTTCATGTTCTCGCATCACTGCCTGCAAGAAGACAGGGCTATACTGCCGATTCGGTGCCTTTGGACGCATTTCGCCCTCCAGGCTGCCGGACCCCACACGCTGCAGAGGCGCTTGCCCGGGCAGCACAGTGGCCTCTGAGTGCAGCAGAGGCCAAGGGCTCTGAGTGCAGGCATTCTTCATCCTGCAGGCTCTAGGCAATGCGGGTTGCCGAATGCAGCCAACAGGTCACATCGTCTGCCTGGGCTGCAGTGCTGCGGCTGAAGAGTGTGTATTGCGATTGCAGACCGCAACGTGTTGTGGAGACTTAGGGGCAGAGGCAGAGACTTGCCCACTCTTGCTCTCACATCTGCTCTCGTTGAAAAGTGAGGCCAACCTCGGAATCTTTGGTCCGGGTATTACTCACCAACTGGAGAAGCAAGTGATGCAATGCCACAAGAATTGCACTCTCGAGGAGCCTAGCAGCGGCAATGCACGGCACGGGTTGCACCAGACATCAGTTGGGCACGTAGCGCCAGCAAGACTTGCCTTGAAGTGGCGCCATACTTAGATCCGATGCTTGATCTTGGTAGGAGCTGCGAGTCGTTACTGCGGCGGGAGCTGCACTGAACCTCGGCACTTTGACTGCAAAGCATGCTACACAGTGTTTCGAGAGGTTACCAGCGACTTAGTACTCTGATGCACTTGGCGCTGTGTTGATGGGCGGCGGCAACCGCAGCTCAGGTCACAGACTTTTCCGAGCAATAGCCGAAGAGGCTGAGCGACGAATGCTATCGAAGCTTCGAGAAAATCCCTCAAGAGGAAGGACATCGAAAGAGATACGGATCAGGAAGGCCATCCATGCGCAAAGGTTGCACAGCATCAACCAAACACTCAGTTTGGGTGTAAGCTGCAGTGCTGAAGATCTGCACCTCTCATGCCCAGTGATTCGCAAAGAGTCGCCGTCCCATCTTTGTTGTTGTGGTGGCATTTTTATGTTTCGGCAAGCATTTGGACAGTGACCATCTGCGTAAGGATGCAAGTCGGATGCGCGGCCGACAAGGATTGGCAGGAGGGGACTCTGCAGTTCCATCACCAAACTGTTCCTATGACCCTATGACATGCTGTGCTTTGCTGCTTGCCCAGTTTGCCAGGTATTCTGGAAGGCATGGTATCAAACTCACAAGTCACTAGTCCCCGAGTTTTCGAAAATGAGCCATGCATGCAGATGAAGCACTTCTGCAGTAGTCCAAGGCTTTGTGACGGACAGAGCATCGCTTGCAGTTTTAGTGGTTTCCTGGATGTGAGTGTAATGTGAGCAGCCTTGCGGCTTGGAAAGCATGTTCGCAAGACGTATCTTCGCACCTGAGCTATCTTGGCTCTTCCTGTTTCATGCGCCAGCCATCCTGAAACATGAGTTGAGCACTGGCTGCGGGCCCCTGTTGGCCGTGACTGGCCTGGCCTGCCATGAAGGCATTGGCAAGCATGCTTGCATCTGGGCGTGTTTTTGGCCAATGACCGTGTCTCTTTCCGCTAGCGGCTACACCACCCACGATTTGAGGGCGACAGAGAAATCTCGTTCCGAGCATGCGCCGCACCCGCCTCGAGCGGGGCGATCAACACGACATCATTCTGTTTAAATCAGTGATGGGCACCGTGGCAGTTGGAGTTTGGGCGTGGCAGGTCCACAACTCAAAATGAGCGATGCGTGGCAACGAACCATCTGGAAGATTTGGCTCAAAACGATGCTGACATCCCAGCTCTGCAGGCCCCGACTTTCTGACTGGATTGGCGCAGCGGAGAAAAGTGCAGGCTAAAGGGCACGGGTCGCTCGCGGAGTCCGCAGGTGTACCGGGCTGTAAAGGTTCTGCAGTTATGCAGGCGCCACGGCCAGAGGGAGCATTCCTGCAGAGCAACCTGCTCACCCAAATCTAAGAATCTATGTCTGGATCCCTCATGAGTGCTCGTTTCTGGAGGCACGGTATCCTTGCTGTGTGTCGGGAAGCTTCGGATCTTGCAACATGATGCATGTTTTATGCTCCGCCAACTTGTGCGACTTCCCTCAAGTTTTAGGTTTTGCTCTCGTCACATTCCCACCAGTCTTGGCTATTGTGTCGGCAGCATGCTGGAACCGCTTCTTGCCTGCAGCACGACACCCTTGGCCGATTAGACTGCGCGCCGTGCCATTGCCATACTCGCACGTTGACGCGAGATGTGCACCTCGAGGCAGCTGTCCGAAGATGCTTCGCATCCAGCGACACGAAGGCCACAGGACGAGGCCCGAGTTTCAAAAGGACGTATTGCCTTTGCTGCTGGCATGTCCCAGGCTTCTAACTTGGGAAGAACGTGCCCATCCTCCTGCACTTCCCCGATGCTCCCCGTCAGGAGCTGCGCGTTGAAGCCGCTCTTGGGCGGCACGCTGCTTTGGGGAGCAAACTTCCGCCGCGAGCCGAAAGTTGTGCCGCTGTTGGTGATTCGTGTGGGTTAAAATCATCGCTGGTTGAGCTGTTCTTTGTCATAAGCTTCGTTGGGCTTCAGCCGCGTGCTGCATGCCTGCACAAGTTGCGGCTACCAAGGCTGTACGTTCAGCGGGACTTTCTCGCGAAGCTCTTTGCTCTTTGTGCTTTGCAGCTGAGCGTGTGCTTGGTAACAGCACTCCTGGTCCACGCCGCTGTAAAGAACCAGGCGCCTCGGCTCTCCCCAGTACACAGCACCCGCTACCTTTCGAAATGTTGTAGTCGGGATTCGCAGTGCCTCCTGACTATGGCAGTATTACGATTGGAGGGTACGGTACAAAACAAAACTGCTACTGTCGATCAGCTGCCAAGCAGGCAGATAGTAGACATCTGTCTTTGAGGTGCCCGATGTCGATGAGGGCGACAACCGCCACATCGCTAAGGCCTGCTATTGCAACATTTCTTAAAGTCAAGCCTCCACTGTGATGGCAGGCCAGTAGCCTGTTGGTAGACTGACTTCGGTATCTGGGTGTGCGTCATCACACCGTGGCATGTTTAGGATCACTTCAGCAGCATGATGGTTTGGCACTACAGCCTGCTTTATCAGCTGAGCAAGGTACTAACCCGACTGCCTAAGGCTAAGAGTTTGGTAATTCAGCATGCATGTAGCATCACTGTCTTTTGGCAGGTGCTACCGCTTCCCACGCGTGGTTCCGCACTTTTGCTGGGTGAGTACTACAGCCTCTGCATAGTCACAACGCTCCTCATGTGGCTCCTCTGGAGAGTCAGAAGCCAGCGACTTGCTCGTGATAGACTCCAAATTCCGTATGTGCCCGAACTCTGACGTGTGCCGAAACTGCGGCTGGAGGCGCAAAACTGCTGTGCGAGAGTGTAGCTGGCGGAAAGCAAGAATGCTGGAACCCCGTCCGTGTAGACGAAATCTCCGTATAGTGAAGACCAGGCTCACAGATTCTGGTTCACATGCTTTTCTGTCAAAGCCCATCCGTCACACCCGGCGGTGTCCATGACAGGCTAAATTATTGGGCCACAGAGTCCGAATCAATGGGCTTGAGTTTTGTTCGACAATGAGCATGTTGGAGAGCATATAGAATGTAGATACTGGGCAATTCACTGGCAACATGTTAACATGGTGATTTCAAGTGCGCACTGCCACAGGGCAAGGTGAACATGGCCATGTAACTAGAAGCAGATGTTCTCTTCGGCGTAAACTGGCCGAACAACCGCCTTGAGACTGCCAAGGTATCCAAGGAACTACATCTGCCTCGCAGTGATGACTCTGTGCGTGGGCTCCTTTTGGGGAGTGAGCTCCGCCAGCTTGGCTGTGGATCAGCACATGTACCTTTTGGCGCTGATCATCATCACTCTGGGTACTGCGTCCTTGGTTTGTCGTATGCTACTCCATGAGAAAGGGCGATGCAGCTCTGCGGCTTCAGCTTTAGCAGCAGTGAGCATCGGCTGGTTGGTCGGTTTTGTGTTCCTACTTGCCTGGAGCCTTTGTTTGACTGGCCTTTCAGACCGCTCTCACTTCTTGTCGGCCTCAATCCTCAGCACTCTTTCGCTGCTGTTCATCTTCTACTACACATGGAAGTCGCTGGACACGACCTCAGCCGACGATTTAGTTGGCCTTGTCGCCGTGGTAAACGCGAGTGCGCTGGCTGCGATCAGCTTGCCATACCTTTTCTTGCTTCTGGCTTGCTGCGCTCCATCTGCGCTGCCCTTGGCATACGATGAAAGTCACGAAGATGGCTTAGATGTCCCAGATGCAGAGCAGGGTCGGGCCGAAGATTAGGCCCGAACCCTACCCGGGCTACGGCTCGGTGAGGCAGGGCACAAGTGAGGGGTTCAATATGTCCCAAAGGCCTGCTCTCTGGAGAGCAGCTGGTCTTTGAAACGACAGAAAGTTGCACGGCTGACTTTGCCAAAGCTTCGCCAAGAGCCGGCAGCTTGTTCATTGCCCTTGCGGTTGCAGCCACTCGCGACTTCATGCCGCTTTTGCATGCTTTTGCTCTGTAGCGACTTCTAGCGAGACTCACTCCCGAATGAAGGGTGCCTTCTTCAGCTCCCTGCAGACTAGAAACTTTGCAGTATCCGTTGTGTATGCCAACGTGAACTCACAATCTTTTCATCGACTTGACGGAAGTGGAGCCCTGAACTTTGCCAAAGCATCACAGGCAACTACTAGCCAGATTTCCGTGACTGCGACTGCACAACAGCCTTTGCAAAATTCCGGAACCGCTGCCGGAGAATCGAACGCCAAGCTAATAACGCTGCTTGGCCGAGAGGCTCCGAGACTGCACCCCAGGATGAAGATCATGAAGAGAGAAACCAGCATTCAGAAGAGGGGTCACGAAGCACAATGACGAACGACTTGCACACTTCGAGCGGGAGTAGTCGCTCCCCCTCCTCTACCCTGACGAAAGAACAGTAGTTTCAAGCAGACCGAAAGACCACCAGCACCCCTGCTGGTCTGACACGCTGCATACGGTGCCCTCCGTTGCCTCCGAGACCCAGAGGGGGTTGCAGTGCAAGTGGCACATGCCAGAAGCTGCGCACGTGCGTATTTGTGCGTATATTCTCTTCAATGCACTTCTTCATCGTTGCAAACGAATTCATGCATGCACATGTGTATGTATGTAGATAGATAGACAGATAGAGAGAGAGAGAGAGAGAGAGATAGATAAACAGATAGACAGGTAGATAGGTAGAGATACGCATCTATGGGTATACATACATACCATACATATGCATGTATGCATGTATGCATGTATTCATGTCTGGATGTCTGGATGTCTGTCTGTCTGTGTGTATGTATGTATGTATGTATGTATGTATGTATGTATGTTATGTAATGTAATGTAATGTAATGTAATGTTATGTATGTATGTATGTATGTATGTATGTATGTATGTATGTATGTATGTATGTATGTGTGTGTGCATGTGTTTATGTGTGTATGTCAGTGTATGTGTGTATATGTGTATGTATATATATATATAGATCTATCTATCTATCTATCTATTTATCTATCTATCTATCTATCTATCTATAGATAGATAGATAGATAGATCTATATCTGTGTGTGCGCGGGGATTTTTCCCTCCTCGCTGCTACGTCCCTGCCCTGTAATGCAAGCGGTACATTTCCACACGTACAGTCGTGATTCAATCGCGCCAGTAAATATGGATAAAAACACAGTGTGTACGCTGAACAGGCTTGTAGCAGGTTTGAAGAGCATCAGGTTTGGCTCTGCCGGAGATGCCACAGATACACAGCGGCATGACGACCTGGTGTTTGGTTTTGCGAGCCTGGTCATGTTGTCAAATGTATATTTTGGGCAAAGAATCAAACCAAGGAACCGGGACTGGTGAGAGAAACTGTAACATCACCGCCACCAGAGCCCTTTCTGTGTTGCTCCCCCGACCGTTATGTCTTCCACTTAGCCAAAGCAAAGCGACAGCCCTCGTCCTCCCCGCGCAGAGTGAGTAGGTGATGCCGTTCACAAGCCGCTCTGTGGTCTTCATATCCTTGTGCTTGGGGAATTTAGTGGCTTGTTTCGCCGATTGGCGTTATTGCATGAGCCTTGTGGCCTCGAAAATTAAGATTCAAAAACGAGTTCAAGAGCGGTGAGGGGTAGTTGTACGACGGTTACGACCAGAACACTTCGTAGGCTAGGGCGGCTCTGATGTAGAAGCCGCCGCAGGGAGACCCACAAGCAGTCGTCCGTAGGCCCACACCTCGCCACATGCCGGAGCCATCTTCGTTTGTCTTTGGAGTGGTTTTTACTGGCTCTGACCCGCCACGGAATTACACACCGAAAATTTGGACAGCGACAGAAAGATAGAGGGAGATTAGTTGGTCCATGTTGACCGAAGACTGAAGAGGGGCTGAACTTATCGCCAGCGTTTTGACTTCGATTGTGGTGCAGTCGAATTACCACAGCCAGAGGGGTCGACAAGTGCCTCGATGTTGTGTTAAGACACGCGGTGCGTGTTTCCTAGGCCTGGCTTTTGCACAGTCTGTGTGATGTGAAATTCAAAAATCTAGTGAACCTGGTCCTTACTCGCAGATTTGATCGGTTGGCCGAAGTTCTTCTGCACTCATTGTGCTTGCGCTGTTCAGTCGTCCTGACCAAGCTTAAAGGTCACTCTTGGTCGAGTGTTATCGGTCGGCCTCAACGGCGGCGCGACAGTGTACAGGGATGTACAGCCTGCATTCATAGATGCCAGTCCAGGCCTTGGCCAAGTTTGGAGCTTCTTGACAAGTTGTACAAGGTCGGACTCTCGACCCAGCCGAGAAGCCCCAAGCCTCAGAACTTGGTGGATCTCATCTTCGATGCTCGTTGTGTAGCATTGTAACTGCCTCCTGGAGTTTGGCCGGCCAGCTGGGCACCTTCGTGCAGTTTTTCAACCTGTGTTTCAAGTCATAATTAGACGGCGTCTCGATGATGTCGATTGCACCCTTGCCAGTCACCGCTTCCCTCGTACGGATGGATTGGCCTCCCGCTCTTCCGGACTTGCTGAGGTCATGCCCTTCGGAGGCTGCTTCGAAGACCCGTCCGAGCCATTCCCAGGTTGAACATGCGTGCGTTCTTCCCCCACCGCAAGGTCGCAACCTCCACGGGCACGATTTCAGTAGATTGCATGATCTTTCCCGAGTTTGAAATGTTTCCGGGCTGTTTCAGGCCACTGGGTCCCAGCACCCTGGGACCTTTCTTGACGGTGCCAACGGCCCTGTTTGAGTCAGGTGGTCCAGCGGACGCCAAGGTGTCGACCGAGTGAGCACGCCCGCTTTTAATTCAGCATAGAAAATGACATTCTCTCTGTGTGTGAGCGTTAGAGCCGCTTGGAGCCGCTTGGAGCCGCTTTGCCTTGGCTCCGGCTTGGGGCTGACAAGGACCTCCTGGGCATCGTGAGGGCCCTGCACTCCATCGACCTCCTCCCAGAGCGCCTGCACCGACTGACCAAGGCAGGGCTCAGGGCCCCACTTGGCAAGTGCGCCCAGCCATGATATCAGGCATGCTTCTGCACAGAGAAAGTGGACGCAGCATCCTTTTCGCAAGGGCAGCTTCAACTGCAGTTCTAACCATTTGTCTTTGCTTTCTGAGCTGTGCGGATCGGTAGCCAAGGCCGGACCCTGTCGTGCTGGAGAAACCGGCTGGCTGGGAGGCCGATGTCGTACAGAAAGCCAATCAGATGGCCTGGGTAATAGCAAGTCAGTGACCGGTGTCCTTTGTTCGAACATTGTGTGGATTTAGAGGTTTATGGTGGGCATGGACAACTTCAGCTGCGAGACAAGCTCATCAGAAGCGCCCCGTGCCTAGAGGATCTTGCGGAGCGTGCAGTGGTGCAGCAGAACACAGTTTTCCGTGCAACGACCCTCGTCGCATGCATGTGATGACGCCGCATCATGCGAACGCTTGCAAGACAAAACTGCTCTGGTACATCTTCGAGGCTGGCAACTACCCCATCTTCCACGATGCCACTCGCGACTTTGGTTTCATACACCGCCTGGACGTGCCAAGTTCCGGCTTGATTCTGGCAGAGGCTGGGCAGCATCTGGAACTACAAGGTTTCCATCATTCGGTTTTGCAAGTATGCTCCAGTTTTGCTGCCTGCAGCCGGAAGCGATGTGGAGTGCTGTCTTAACACAGCTCAGGCGAAGACCTATCGCACACATAGCTATCTCCAGCTGCAGCTGCACACAGGACGTCGTGCAAGCCCGAAATGCTCCGTGAATGATTTTTCGGTCATGGGCCAACAACAGCCCGGCCTGAGACCGGAGACTTGGCGCCAAGTACGCATATATGTCAGAACAGGAGTGCTGCTGCGTGAGTACTTCGTCGTGAGCCATGGATGGCTACCACCGGCACGGCGAACCTTGGCAAGTAAGAAGGACCAGGGCCGGTGTCACAGTCTCCAAGATGGCGTACTCCGGTCTGAGGTGCGATCTCTGCTGCGCTGGACGATGATGCCGAAACGACCCGTGCAGGTGTCGGCAAAGCCGCACTGACGAAGTTAAAGGCCGACAGGGCTCGCAGTCCAAGAGACGTCCTCTTACTCCGCACCGGTGTAGAGGTTCCATGTCCACCCCATCCCCAAGACTCGCTCGTGGTGAAAGGTAGTGATACAGGCAGTCGGTGGGCAGTCGCAGCAAAGTAGGATGAAGTTTGCAGCAAGAGCTTCGCATCTCCTGGCACACAGGTTCAGGTGCAATGCCACCTTGAAGGTGAAGCTTTCACTGAATCTTCACTGCGATTGGACAGGCACTGTTCAGAACAGGTTGTGGGCTTCTGCCCTTGGCTTGTTAGCATAGCTGGACTGTATCTGTGTTCACTGCCCGGCTCCTGCAGAATGCGCATCAGTGTTCGATCCTCAGGCTGTAGCTGTGCAGCTTGGTACTGGTCGGAAACACCAAATCAGGACAGCAGGTTGTCTCAATTTGTGGACTGGTTTGAATGCATGCTGAGCTGCATTCGCGGCCCATTATCCGAAGGCTAGCTGCCGGTCAGGCTTCAGCAAGTGACATCCGATCAGCCGGCTTGATGAAACCGTCAGACGTTGCAGGAGCCATCTGGCCCATGTAGGCCATCCAGTGGTGCGTGATGGCCGCTACAGCAGATCCTGGGACAGCACCTCAAGTTTCTCTCGTGATGTTTCAAGAAGCGAAGTTGTCCCACGAGGTTCTGCGAGTTTCCGCGGAGATGGAAGGCTTTGCAACAGCAGCATGGCTTACTTGGCACACGTCGCCTATGCGCTGGACTCTGTTCGAAGTGCGAGTGGTTCACTAGCCTGCAGGGCAAAGGGGTGGCTCACATGTTGCCGTGCTAAGGCAACTTCTTGTGGCTTTGCAGCAGGGAAATCTTGGCTTGAACCCATGCTTTACCTTGCAATCGGCCGAGCTTCAGTGCAGACTTGCCCCACGCCGAGGGAGTGCCAGTTTGCATGTATTCTAGCTTGTGCACAGCAAGCGAACTTTGGAAGCTGTCTGTGGCTGAACACGCGCCCCAGCAATACCGTGTAGGCGCCGACACATAGCTACTAGTAGGCATCGGCAGCGGCTGGCCTTCTTCGATTCGAGTGGCAAGTGGCATGACGCCAAGGCGGCTGCAAATACAAAGCGAGGTCACGTGTTGTTGCTTTTTTTCATCGTGGATGAACAGTTGCCTGTTGCCATCGCGGCAAATGGACACAGCCGGAAGAAGTGCAGAGCCTTTCGACCATGTGATGCCCTGGGCAGGCACCATTGCCATCCCTGCTGGCCACAGCTCTGGAATCGCTACGCGAGCGGCGGGCAACTTCAACTGGCGGGCCCAGGGCGTCTTTGCAACTTGTGACTGCACCGACATGTCCACGTGTGGCACATTCATGTGGTGCACTGAACCTCAGGGAAGATCTTAGACAGCGTGTCCGTGTCCATCCGCCTCGAAGTTATACAGTTATACATCCAGTCCTTGTCACACTGACGATGAGAGACATGCACTGTGGCCTAATTGCCATGTTCTGCGGCCTTGTTCGTTTTCGCAGGTCTCTTGCAGCAATGCACCGGCGATGTGCAGAGTTGGGACGTGCTGCAGACTGAAGCTCAATTGGAGAAAGGTCGTTTGTTTCCTGATCGTGCCCCGTGACTGTTCCTGCACGGTATGTCTCGACCATATTAACTTCAAGCGCAGGTGGCTACCAAAGGGGACCGCCGTGTTGTGGGAAGCCCAGAGGGGTGTTGTTCGCACTTCGGAGCACGGGAAGGCAAGCAGCCAGGATGGGGCAGGGTTAGGGATGTCTGATGTCAGGGTTGCCGTGCCGGTTCGAGGTCTACGCTCGACTGATGGCTATCCGAGCTCTTGCGCCGCTGGCAGCAAGGCCTTTTACCTGGAGAAAGCATGTATGACCCTCCGGGTGTTTGGCACTCCTGCGCGTGCCAGTGGCAACAAGCGAGCCATCGACTCGGTAGTTGCTGGCCTCAAGGACACCCTGTCGGTGGACCTGTCATGATGCAATTGTGTGCCTAGTGTCACCCTGTCTGTACCTGTACAGGCATGTTCCGGTTCAAGAGTTGATCCGATCGCTGAAGCTGTGCCCACCAGGACCAGCATACCTCAGTGCGAGAAGGGGCTATGGAGGCAACAAGCGGCAGCATGTCATAGCGGGCGAAGAGTGACACAAGACCGTTGCATTGCAATAATCCCGGGGTGTGTCAGGCAAGCATGATGGCAGTAAATGTGATGTGGCAGCGATACAGTTGATGATACCTTTGTTGCGAAGGAGCTTGCAAAGATCGCCAGCAACGGAGACAGCCGCTCGTTGGCATGCTACAAGCGTTTTCCAAGTAGTGCCGCTTTGGCATGGCATCGAAACCTGTCAGGTGTTAATGGCAGGGAGCTTTCCGCACGCCTCAGTGCAGTGAAGGCAGGGGCCGATGAAGTGCCATCCAGGACAGCTGCAACGAGATCGCAGGCTCTGGCTGCCGAGACTCCAGATTCTGCTGCCGCGGCCGTCCTAGGCACTTGCCTTGAGGAAAACGATGGAGGGGGGGTCGCATGCTATGACGGCTATGGTTTGTAATTTCATGGGCTCCAAGCAGCTGCGGCGAGGCTTCGCCGCAAAGGATCAGGTTGTCCACGGCTACCCGACACATTAGTGGCGGCGTGTCTTGCCATGCATGGGAGGATTGGCATGCCGCCGTTCAGAAAGCCGCAGCATGTGGCCTTGAAAAGTTTGTGGGCAAGGCTGGGGCGCTGCGAAGCCTCTGGTAATCCTACGTGAGTGTGAGACACAGGCAGGCTCCGATCCGGCAGCCTCCAAAGCAATCGAGGCTGCGGCTTGCGCCTTTGGTGCTTGCATCTCCATCCATCATGCCGTGCATTTCTCCGTCTTGCCATCCGTTCCAGCATGTTCGGACAACTAATGCTGAGCTCCAGCGTCATGTCGTCGAGAGTCGTGCCCTCGTCATGAATCCTACACTCGCCTATGTTTTTTTGCTATTCTGCAAAGTGTGCAGAGAGGCGTTCAGCGCCCGTGCTCTGCGGGGCGACCGATCTGGGCTGACGGCCCTGATGACCGCGCTTGAGTGGGGGGGCCATGTAAGCCATACCTGCGGGCAGGGCAGGCAGCACGATGTTACTGTTAGTGGCAGTTGAATGTTGGTCAGGCTGGGGACGATCCTAGTATTGCTGGTTCATGCTGGTTCATTTCAGAGGGCATCTGGGCAACGTTGCGAGTGCTTAGCTTCGCGGCTTCAGGCGGGATGATGCTTCGCCCACGTGGCGCCAAGCGCTTGGCGCCCTGGCGGGGGCTCTCAACTGACAGACGGACGGACAGACACAGACAGACAGACAGACAAGCAAAGAGACATAGAGATAGATAGGTATAGGCAAGTGAATGCACAGACCTGATGGCGAGTGCCTGACTTTAGACAGATTGGAGGAGGTTGTGCAGCTGCTGCTGCGATCGTAGGCAGTAGGCGCCTTTGTGTAGGTATGGAGCGGAGTTTTGGCTGCAGGATCGAAAGTTTCATAGCTACCGATCCTACCTTGTCCAGGATGTCCATGTCGCGATCCGGCGTTTTGTGCCACGTGAATGTTCACCACGTGTATCTGCCGTTCATATTGACTGAAGGTCCGGGTTGTGCTCCAAACGGATTCTGCTCAACCTGCCGAATTTGCAGTGAAGGCCTTTCCGAATAAAGTGTCTGGCGGGTCAGTCTCTGCGCTTCCCTCGGGCCTGCAAGGCGGCCGCAGCCAAAGCCATCGGCCTGGGCCCCAGCTGAGATCGACGCGTCTCGATTCGGCTACATGCAATCGGGAAGGGCCTGGACTTGCCTGCATTTCAAGTCGCACTCAAGCGACACACAGGCTCACACCACGCTAGCACGAAGACCCATGAATCGAGGCTGCTAATTAAACTGGGGGCCTCCCTGGCGTGGAGGTGCGTCACCTCTCCTTGCAGCCATTCTGATGAAAGCTTGCCATGATCATGATATGATCTGCACAAGCCACCGAAACTATGTTGAGTGTGAGTCAAATTCCAGGAATGTCCAGCGAGTTTGCAAAAGGCAGCTTTTGCAGGGCACGGTCTCTGCGCAAGAAGCAGCATTTGAACACAGATTGGAGGAACACAGCGGGCTTGTGACAGCAGTCACAGCTTTGGGCCTCGCGATGCTCTGCCACTGAAGCTCCGGAGCCGAACCGATCGATGAGGCCGGAGACGCGGCGTCCTTTTCTTGCCTTTCTGGCGCCAAGCTGGCGCTGCTCGCATCGATGGATCCTTGAGGGCACAGGCTGCCGCGACTTGCCTTGGCACTCCTGGAACCCTCGTTCTGTTTAGTACGAAACAGAGTTACGATGTGCTACTCCTTGCAGCCTCAGGAATGGCATGTGCAGCGGTAGCAGTGTTTCAGACGCGAAAACATACACTAGGTCCATCCAGCAGCTCGGGAAGCAACTCGAATGGCAGAAAAGTTTGAGACTGCTCAGAGAGTTCCGACAGAGCCGATGTGACGGTGCGGTACATGCATACAGCGCAGGGATCACTGCAACTGGAGACTGGCATCGGGCCGTGGACCTCCTAAATGATTTGCAAAACATCTCGCAGGCAAATGTTGTTACATTCAGTTCCGCCATCAGTGCCTGTGAAAAGATCTCGGCGTGGCAACCTGCATTGCTTCTATTGGGACAGGCTGAAGATGCATTTGTGGAAGCAGATGTCATCGTTTTCAACGCGGTCGCGAGCGCATGTCAAAAAGGCAGCGATTGGCAACGAGCTGCTCAGCTCATGGATGCGTTGTTCAGGCAAGCTTTGGAGCCAACGATTGTTTCACACAGTACCGTCATAAGCGCGTGGGGGCGTGCAAGCCGGTGGCAAGTGGCTCTGCGGTTGTTGCGGGCACTGCCTCTGTTTGACCTGCAGGTGAACAGAGTGGCATATGGTGCAACGCTGAGTGCGTGTGAAGCGAGTTCAAACTGGCAACTGGCACTTGAGCTGTTTGCAGAGGTGCGCTCACAGAGTCTCAAGGTGAACCTGATAATTGCCAACACAGTTATAAGTAGCTGCGAGAAGGCTGCAGAGTGGGAAGCGGCCCTCCTCCTTCTGTCCAATCTGACTTTGCAGCCACAGCATCCGCAGCCGGACGAGATCAGCTTCAATTCTGCCATCAGTGCTTGCGAGAAAGCAGGCCAGTGGCACTGGGCTCTTGAGCTTCTGAGCCAGCTCGAGCCTTGTGCCATCTTGCAAAGCCATTCCTAGGTGATTTTGGATCAATTTATGGTAAGGGTTTAGTTAGGGTCTAATTTGCGACAATCCTCTGGCCAAGGACAGGAACCGACTACAAGCATCTGTCGTCTCGTGCAGTGCCGCGGCCAGTGCGTGCGCGAAGGGCATCCTGGATGCCTTTCTGATTTCTGTTTCCCTATCGAGTAGAGTAGAGGATAGTAAGAGGAGGGCTCAGACTTGGTTTCCCTTGTGTCCACGCGTCTCTCAGTCTCTTGCTGTATGTCTTTCGGGCTATCTATCTTCTGGCTGTGCCTGTCTGACTGACTCTCTCTCTCTCTCTCTCTCTCTCTCTCTCTCTCTCTCACTCTCCCCGTCTGTCTATTTTCCTTCCGCGTGCCCGCCGGCCTGCCTGCCTGTCTGCCTCTGTCTGTCTGCCTGTCTTTCCGTCCTTCGGTCTGTCTGTCAATCTGTCTGCGTGTCGCGCTTGTAGCCGGAGATGCCCGTGGGTGAGAGAGCATCCGCTGGTTGGATTGGATTCGATTACGTCTACGCACCCTTCCGCATGATCCTGTGAAAGGCTTCCCAGCCTGACGAATCTAAGCTCCTTTCAATCAAAGCTGCCACAGCCCAGACCGCATATCCCCCGATTGTCAATGTAGAATCGCAAAGCGTGAGAATGCCAGTGTCTAGCCGGCCACGTCTCACTGAGGAACTGCCTGGTTGCAGGCCATGTTCCTTATCAGCAGCAGCCAGAAAAGCAAGATCCAGCTGCCTGTCCAGCTTAATTAACATTGCGCTGTCGAATTTCGCTCATGTCAACAGCATTCCCCCATATCTTACTCGCCGATTGTTTGATGTGGTCACAGATTGCAGGCACTCTTTGTGTGTAAGCTGTGTCCGTCTCGAGGCTCGATGTGATTGCCTACACCGCGCTAGCAAGTGCCTGCGCGCAGGGCTACAGTTGGCAGACGGCCGTTTGCCTAGTAGCCGACCTTCGCCAGAGCTATGCGCACGCGGACCCTCCCTGGTGTTGTGTGGGTGCATGTGTTGATGGGCATTTTTTTAAGGAGTCTGTCCAACATACTTCGTCTCTCCGTCTCCATTGTGACAGTGGTTCGTAGTCCACAGGAAATCAAACCTCGGACCTCTGCACTTCTTCATCCCTGTCGCAGTCTGTAGGACTTGGTCACCTGCAACGCCGTGATCACTGCCTGTGCAGAGGGCCGCCGCTGGCTGACGGCTACGACAATGCTGCGAAACTTCCAGACAGAGCTTCTTGAATGAGATGCTTGCGAAGCGACTTCAGTCCCGTGTGTTGCACTGCTGCAGGCAGCTCCGCAGCGATGAGGTCTCCATTTGTGCTGCCATCACGGCTTGCCAGCAGGAAGTCCCGTGCCACCTTTCAAAGTTCAAGCCAGTTCAAGCTGCCAGCAGCCGGAAAGCAGGAGTGGCCAGCAGCCGTACATGTGCTGTCTTTGTTTCGCAGCAGCTTGCCGGCCAGCAGAGTCGCCTTCAATGCAGCATCTTGGCTTAGTCTGGCTGATGTTTGCGCTTGCGCTTGTGCGTCTGTGTGTGTCTCTGTGTGCGTTTGCCTCCTTAGTTCATGGAGCAAGGCGACCCCCATCTCTACTTGTTGGATTTAAGATTCGGTTTAGGGGGTCGGGCATCACAGGGCGCATGGCAATTATCCACATCCGTGGGCAACGAAGCTACGGCTGTAGACGGGATACCCAGCCTGATTTGCTGGACACACCTGCAAAAGAGGAGGGGGTGTCCACTGGGGCATCCAAACCAGCTAGGTTTCCGTTCTCTACTCTACAGGGCTGCAGCGCCTGCTGTTAAGATCTCGGATCTTTGCCACCTTCACGTGACCGCGTCGGGAACAGAAGAACCGGAAGACCAGAAGTAATGTTCTCCGACCTCCTTCCATTCACACCCCAGCTACTGGGTCGCCTTCGCGCCGAAGCAGTTCGCCGCAATTGTATCACCCCGGCCATGGGCCATGCAGGGTTTCGGGGTTTAGTTTCGGTTTCGTGTTTTAGGAGGCAAAAGTTGCTCCCCATCTGGGGCTGCCTCTCAGTTCATGGCAGCCAGGGGTTACACCCACATCTGCCGTTTGCGTTTAGGATCGGGGATTTGGGCTTTAGGATTCGCTACCGTTGTGGGCGGCGTATCCAGCCTGATGAGCCTGCCAAATGTGGATTAGCTCATTTTTTTTCTGCTCTCCGTTCTCTCTCACATCCAACTTCCGTCATCAACGTGGAATGCTGCGACAAGCTGAAAAACTGTGGCGAACACATCCAGTGGAGTGGATACGGCATGTTTCTGAAGGTTTTTGTGACAAGCTAGGCCCCTGCCTGTGCCGGCAAGATCCGCGTTTTCGCAGCGGTTGTGGCACCCTGCTTTTCAATGTTAATTCTTTCGTAAGTCAAGCGGCGGCAGGATGCAACAGGTACTGTATCAACAAGTATCTGCTTAAGTCTTGGAGCCAACCGTGCCAACCAGCCATTAAACTCTTGAAGATTTGTGTAGCATTTGTGTGTGTGTGTGTGAGGATTTTCTCGAGTTTTGCAATGTCCGACTGACATCCATCACCCCGATTCTGGAAGTTTGCATCTGCGAGCCCTGCAGGCAGCTGCCGCATGTGAGAAGGGCAGCAGCTGGCAGCTGGCCCTCCTCTTTGCAAAAGTAAGTCGCTGCCTCGGCTCGCCATGTTATCTGCGTGCTTGCCACCGGTGTGTGCTCAGGACTGCAGAGGCTGACACCTGATGCTGTCTCCTACAACGTGGCCATCAGCGCCTGCCAGAAGGAGGAGTCGTGGCAGTGGGCCATGCTTTTGCTGCACGAGCTTTGGGACAGCCGGCTTCGGGCCAGCGTTATTACATACAGAGCCTCGTCTGTGCTGGAGCCGGAGCAACGCCCTATCAGAAGCAAGGACCGCTCTCAGACTCTGACTGAGGTGTTGCCATTGGGGCAGCCCACGCTGCCGGACGCTGGGCTTGGGCACTTCACTTTCTGCAGAGGCTCGACCGGGATGGGGAGGCGCCCCGGCCCTGGCGGATGCATCAGAAGCCGTCAGAAGTCTCCACTTATAATCGGTTTAGAGGGTGTGAACTGAGGCGCCCAACGTCATCACTTGCAATGCGGTGCCTCAAGCTGCCATGCCTTGTCTTAGCACATTTAAGATGTGTGGCCGACGACCGAGCCGAGGTCTTGAGCACGTGCGCCGGGCAGCATCGCTGGCAGCGGACCTTGTCTCTCCTCTCCCGCGTGGGTGTACGGCAAGATGTGGTTACCCACGCCACTGCCGTTGCTGCCTGTGAGGTCGGCTTGAGGCAGGCAGTCCACGTAAGTCTGAGCTTTGCCACTGACGTGCTTGCTGTTTATCCGCAGAGAGTGTTTTCGTGGCATTCAGGTACTCTGATGCCGCTTCGGTGCTTTCTCGCTTGGACAGCGCAGGTGTGGCTGCCAACCACCGCACAGGTGGTCCTCCATGATGTTTCGAAAAAGTGTGGCTTGCGTACGTGAGATGAAATGATTACAAAGGCGTGCAACGCTCAGCATCCTGCAGGCGTTTCAGCCTCAAGCAAACTAGAAGCTCTCAGCGCAGCCTCGCCTGGTAGGCGGGCTGTTTGCTGCGGGCAACGGCAGCTCATGTCGCGCGGCGATGGGCGGGTCCACGACCACGACCTCTGCGGGGCGTCTGCGACGGAGTGCCGCGAGGTTGCCAGCAAGTGGCAACCTTGGTGTGGCAGAGGCCCTTGTCCCAGGGTTCATTCGTAGATGAGCTGTGCCTCTTTACCGTCCTTATAGCTCCAAAATTGCGATCTCGACCAGTATCAAGCCCGAGGCAGCCCGGAAGTCTCGCTTCGTGAACAAGATTGAACAAGCATACAAACTTTCCTGTTTCCATGTCGGTCAGCGCAGCAAGGAGTAGCAGTGAATAGCATCTATTATGTAGATGTTGCAGCTACAGTGGAAACCTATTGGTGCATTCATCGGCCTTCCCCAACATAGTCCGGCGCAGGGCAGAGACGACACGTGGCAGCTAGCAAAGCGACAACTCTGGGCCGGCGTCCGGAACCGCATCCGAGCCGATGCCCGCACCTCAGAGAAAAAACCGAACTGCTCAGCCACCTCGATGTCCGTGTAGCCGTGTCGCACAGTTTCTGTGCATTGCCTCATGTGGGCCTTCTGCGCCGTGCAAGGTGGTCTCACTCACGGCCGCTGGCAGTGCCAGCCTGCGCAACAGACAGTGGCAGTCATCCCTGCAGCTTCTTGGAGAGTGCCTTGAACTTGTCAAGTGCAAGTCTCCCAAGACTGCCTGCTTTGTGCTACAGCCTGCGGGATGTTGAATTGATATCAAAGGCTTCGCTCTTCGTCACTCCGCACAGATTCCCATGTCAAGAATGTCGCGCTGAGCAGCTTGCAGTATCGGAGGTGTCATGTTGGAAATTTCATGTCTTGTCGCATCGATCAAGCTTTGGAAAAATTTTGCATTGTTTCTGGCTGTTTCTGTGCTTCTGTTCTAGTGCTTGTGTTTGTGGCTTCTGTTGCGATTGCGAAGATTTCTTGCCTCTCAGTTTCCAGCTTCTGCTGTGCATGCCGTCTTGGTTTCCTCTCAAGTCTGCGAGCTGGTCCTCTTTGTCAGTAGTGGCGCTTTCGGGCTCTTTGCCTCTGTGTGGTTCAGGAATGTTCAGGAGTGTACGTCGTTGGTGTGATGCCAGCTAAAGTCAATTATACCGTGCCGTACTGCTTGGAGCTGGGACTTCCCGGTAGAGTGGAAGTGTTCTCATGCTGGCAGGAGGGGCTGGATATACTCTGCACAGCTGCTGGAAGATGGCATGGCAGCTTGAGGTCATTTAAGCCATGATTTGTGAGATTTTGTTTGCAGCCGCAGCACCTGCAGCCTGTTTCAAATCAGCCGGGAAGACAGACAGGACAAGGCCCTCAGGCAGACAAGAAATAGCTGATACTGCTGATACTGCGCCATAATGTGCCATGTGTGTGGAAACGCTTAGGTTGCAGATGTTGTCGCTTACACCACAGAGCTTTGACTGCAGATGCGGCCACCGTCGCGCTTGATTTTCTTTGCATTTCTTCGGACTGTATCCTAGGTAATGCGTGCTCGAGCTTCGGCAAGCCTGTGGTGTCAAGCCCTGGGCACACTCACCCAGATGGGGGAACATAAGCTCAACATCAACAACGTAGCGCAACTTGGACTGGCTTCGTAGAGCTTTGCTTCGTTTGATTATGGCTATTGTGGGGCTTGCTCTGCTAGGATTAGCTGCCAGGTTGTTCACCCGAATACGAGAAAGCCTCCCTTCAGTTTTGCATCCAGCCACCTCTAGACTCTGTTGGAGAGATCGCCGCTTCCCCTGACAAAAGACAGGGCTCAAGATTTCGGAGCTTCATGCTGTTAATTTTGGATTGCATAACAGGCTAAAGCAGCATTAGCTAAGTCAGGTTGAAAGAGGGCAGCTTTTCTTGCCGCCGGTGGGGTGCGGCAGTTCATTATTCTGCACGCTTGTGCAGAGACCCTCAAGGGCGACTGCACGGCATGTGTCCCCAGAAGACCCTGCACGGGCGAATCAAACTCGAAAAGGTCGTGTGAACTATAACTAACACTGCATAACGCTACGATGGCGTGCAAGGAAAGCTCGGGTAGAATGCATGAGAACGACTGAAGAAGGGATAAGCACATTCCCGTCTGTTGCAAATTGAAAACGCATTTTAAAAAAATAGCTGCAAAGTTTCAAGACATGCATTCGGACCGATGCCCCAAGCCGAATCCTAGTCCTGTAACTGACATAGCTGCGGCATGCGAAGCGCGCCGGGACAGTTCCGTTACATCCCATGTGCAATGCGGCTCAATCCCTGAACCGAGTCTAAGGTTCACGATCGCCCTCTCCGCCTGCGAGGTGGTACCAGAAGTGGAATATAGTGGAATGTGTACTGCCAGTACGGTTTCAAGATTTGAGCTCTCGTCGCTGTTGGCTTTAGACTTTTTCAACCGCAGCTTAATGTTTGTGGCTATGGGTCGCCAGCAATCGTACCTCATGAGCAGGAGGGCCGACGCTGGGAGGTCGCAATGAACCTATTGGAGCGCGCGGTCTCCTCGAAGGTGGAGGCCACAGTCTTCAGCATGGAAGGAGAGACTGTGCGTAGTGTGGAGTTTTTTGCAGCTGTGGTTGGTGCACTTTTCACTGCAGAGGCTGATGTTTGCACCCTCACAGCCGCACTGAGCAATTTCAACTGGGAGGATCGGAGAGTCGGCGTGTAATGATACGAAAACAAGGATGAGCCAAGATGCCGGGTGTCAGGTGACTGCCTGGACACGTGCCTTATCCCTTTACCATCAGAGTGTTTCAACTGCTCTCCAAGCCGATGTGGCTTCCTGGCTGCAATCTTCCGCATGGGCTTTGGCCAAACATGCGCTCTCTTTTTTGCTGCTGTTGCCATACATCGCCCAGGTGTTGTGTTGCGCGGCTATGAGTACATGTCGGGACCGACACGATGGGAACAAGTTGGTGAGAAGCGACTACTGAGCTCTAGGATGATTAAAGTATGTCGTGGCACAACAGCCTCAGCTCTGCAGCCTGCAGAGGATCCTTGGCACTGGAGCTTGCAGTGCTTCGGCCTGCTGCGGCGGCAGCACCTGCAGACTAATGCAGTCGCATCCGCCACAGCGGCGAAGGAGCAAAGACACAGTGATTTGCAAGTTTGCATCCCGTTTTGTCAGCGAGTCTTGTTGGAAGGCGTTCGAGCTCAGTACTCACTGGGCTCCCGCTTTAGCGCTGCTTTCATCGCTCGCAAGAGACGGCTGTCGGCCCTGTGCCTTGGAGAATTCTGCTCGAGCGTCAGCGCCGCAGAGCCACCGCATGTCACTGCCACTGCCGGGAGGTGCTGCAGCAGGCCTTGCCGCCTGCGGTGCTTGTGGCCAAGCATCTCGTCTTCAAGCGAAGAGCGAAGTTGAGTTCATGATGTGGCTAGACATGAGCACGCTGCCATGTTCGGCCCACAGCAGACTGAGGGTTCGAGCCGTAGATGACTGTCCAGCTGCAGAGGTCTCCTCTTGGGAACGCAGCCTCCACATTTCTCTCTCTGGAGCTCCGGCACGGGTCGCTTCCTGTGCTCGAGGCAGGGTGTTGCGTCTGCCAAGCGTGCCCGAGTTTTGGAGAGGCTGTTGGCTTGATTTGGGGATCTGGCCAACTTCGGATTGAAGCTAGGCCCAGCTAGGCAATTTCTGCATAGAGAGGAACTGCCTGGTGCTTGGCATTGTTCGTGGCGGCAGTCCCGGAACGTCGGCGCGAGGTGCCGGCTAGGGCAGGGTCGCGGTGCCGACAAGTGTCAGATTCAGATGCTTCGGGGTGTGCTTCGAGGTTTCTTTGTGCAAGCTGCAGGCATGAGTGCACGCACTCTCCATGTTGCGAGTCGGGCTGCAAGCGTGCTGTAAAGCTGAGCCGTTCTAGTGGTAAGCCCAGGTGGCACGAGTCAGCCTCAATGCTGCGACCCTGGGACTTGATTTTTTGGGGCTCCGGCAAAGTGAAAACCTGTTTTCGCCAAAGAACTCGACAACTAAGTTTCAGGTGAATATGAAGCGAAAACCCTGGTAGAGGAACCCCAACATTGCCGACTCTACCCTGCAATGTGGGCTCGTCCTAGCTATGTAGGAGGGAAAAAAGAACCCCAACATTGCGTTGCATGCAAGGCATCATCTCCTGCTCCACCACAAACGGGTTCCAAGACCAGCCATGCAATCGCTCAACAATTTCGCTCCTGCAGTCGCCTCTGACGGGTGACAGGGGACAAAACATGCAGAACAGTCGACTTGGCTGGATGTTTTTCCTGGATGCAGTGCATGCTCCTGGCAGGCGAAAGTAGGTCACATTTCTAAGTGTTCTTTCTCCCTCACTCGCTATCGCTCGCTCTGTTTGCCTCTCTCTCTCTCTCTCTGTCTGTCCCTGCAGCAGTTTCTTCATTGTCTCTTCCCGTTGCAGACTTGTGCTGGTGCATCGGTGTTGAATGCATGAGTTCAAGCTTGGGTGCCAAGGATGAGCGCTTTGGGAAGGATTGAGCTCTGGCAGACCGTCGCGGGGATGCTGTCCCAGATGTCGCGCCGGCAGATCGTCCCCGACATCATCTCGCACAACTCCGCCACCTGTCATCAACAGTACAGAGGCCATATCAGACAACTCGCAAACTTTCAGCATGTCCAGCACCTCAGGTCATCTCCGCCATGCTGCATTCTTGGGAAGACGCTTTGGCGATCCTTCAGCTTCTAGGTGGCTGTGGAGGCGGAGCTTGCACGTCTGGCAATCTCAAGCGACGGGCCTTTAGCGTTTAGCGACAGGCTTGGTGAGCTTCAATGCAGCCTTGCGCAGCATGGCACGTGCAGCCCAGTGGCCGCTTGCTTTGCAGCTGATGCTAGCGATGAGGCCAGAGAGACTCCAAAGCGATCTTTCCCTCCGTGATTGATTTGACTATCTGTGCTCGGTGGAACCCATGGTCGCTGGAAGGCGACGAGCAAGGGCAATCGCAGGCATCACCTGGAACTCGGTCTTGTCAGCTTGCGAGAACGGCGCCTTGGCACTGTGGACGCCTGCAGCCTTCGGGTGGATTTGTGTGTTGCTCGCCGATGCTCCGCCGTGCAGCATGGCATGCACACTCTAACTCTAACTTTCACGCGCCGCGCGCAACGGAGTTTTGACAGGCTGTCAACCGCTAGTCTCCTCCATGAACAGAGATGAACTGAAAGAGGAAAACAGCCACCTCCCTATTGTGGAGCATGCGAACGTGGCGTGTTCGTTTCGCGGTTTGGCGTGGTACACTTGTGCAGTTCCCATCCTTCCCAGGTATTTGGCGGTCATCTGTTCTTTTGCAACATGTGACTGGTGATGGGTCTTGTCCTGCTCAGATGTTTTGTTCTACCGAGCCCCCGATGACAGCCGAGACGGACAATGGCCTGTTGCACTACTGCTTCTGCACGGGATGCCCCAGCTCAGAGTGTTTTCTGGACGCAGTCTATTATGCATCTCGAAGCGAGACAGCTGGTAGGAGCTCTTAAGTTAACGCCTTGGAAGGCTGCTTGATCTCTTCGGCCGCAACAGTGCGATCAGTGCTTCTGAGAAAGGTGGGACAGCGCTTATTCTGGTATTGACGCAAGATGTATAGATTTTTGCCATCCTTGCCGGCGCTTGCGGCTGCAGGCTCACAATGGGCGGTCGCTCTGCGTCTTTTGCAAGCTTCTGACCACGGGGTTGAGGCGACTCAGTTGAGCACTCAGGCATAAAGTTGCAGAGGCCTTTGCGCGATGCTTCAGTTGGCATCAATGCATGGCCGTTCCAGGACGAGATCAGGTCAAGAGTGCCGACCTGCTGCACGAAGTGATGCGTCCCACCCAACCTCTGCTGTCGAAGTTCCTGCACCTGCCGCCATCCCCTTCTTACAGTATTACAAGTCACCGGCTTCCTTTCCAGAACGGAAGCAAGCAAGCAAAACATTCCCCGGTGCTTGTGCTGTATGATGCTGTATGCCGTATGGCCGGCATGCCTTGTCGCAGGCTGATGTCCTCAGCTTTGGTTCGGTGGTGGCGGCGTGTAGGACGACTACAATTCTGCTGGTGAAGTGTTCCCCTCGTCACGAAGCTTGTTGTTGTGTCTTTCGCCAGCAGGACACCCGATCTGTGGCACGTTGCCGCCAGTACATGTCACCAGATGCGAGCAGTACAGGCGCGGGAGAATCGACGAATCTCGAAAGAGTTTTTTTCAGGGAGGCAGGTGCTTCTCATTGCATGTCAAGAGCATGCCGTCAGAACGGATAAGAATCTCGCGGCAGCTGCTGCAGACGATCCTTGAATGCCCTGCATGTGCAGGTGCGAACTGATGTAGTGGCTTGCAGCGCCTTGTCCAAGACAGAAGATTGTGCTGTCTTGATATTTCGTGTGGTCCTTCATCGGTTCGTCTTTGCCTCAACTCTCGGGTTGGCCTAGACTGCGTTGCGGCCAGAGAGCCAGTCAGTTGTCAGGAGCCACATCGTAACGTGTGCTGCATTTCACTTCAAGCATGTTCGCACGTTCGGATAGTGATCCCCACAAAACTTAGCAGTGCGATCGCACGCGAGCGCGGCAGGTGTTGAATCACCGCTAGCTCAGCTTGTTCCGAATCTTGAGGAGAGGGAGAGGGAGACGAGGGAGAGGGATAGAGAGACAGACAGAGTCTCAGAGAGTGTCTGCTTTTTGCTGGGAGGTGCTGCTCTGAGTGCTTTGGGAAATGCCGCAAAGTGGAGGCAAGCTGCGGAGGTCTGTGCAAACAGCGAGGCTATGCAAGAGCAGGAGCGACCGAGGGCCCAAGTTTGAGCATATCCCGAGCTGTTTTGCCACTTCCAGGACTTACCCTACAATGCAGCAGTGTGGGCTTTTGCGCAGGGCGAAAGGCGTGCACAGCAGCTTTCGCAGCTCACTCTTCATGGGCAGTGCCTTTCTGGTCTGTATTGCAAGAGAAAGCAGTCTGCAGCTTCCAAGGTAGCGGGAAGAACGATGAGAAGTCGTACCCAGCTTGCTTACCCGATGTCGGCGACTACACCCTGGTTCCATGCAGAGCTCGGCGCATCTGCGAGGTCTCTATGGTGGTTCTTGTAAAGACGACGAGTCAAGTCGTCCGCCCACAGGAGTTCAAGGAGCTGGCTGTGGCTGCGTGTCAGGTGGCCGGCCACCACACGCTAGAGGAGTACAATGCCATGAACCGAGCAGAGCTTTGCGATGGCATTACGGCGTAAATGCTGGTCGGACAAGCATCATGGTGCACCACGCTGAGCAGTCATCCCTCCTTCTCGATTTCGGACAGGATTTTTTTCAGCAGCTGAGCCTGGCAGAGAGCGTGTAGTTGCATGTGCAGCAAGTGCAGCATTCTAAAGCGGCTTTGAAGAAGGCATGAATCACTGCTACGAGTACGGACACAGTGAACACGCACGCGAGTGCTCACACATACATCAGAGAGCATTGCCAGGTCCGGCCAGAAGGCCCCGAGGTTGCATGAATCGTTGCTGACAGACAGCTGAACTTTGCGGACAATGTTCTTCAGGGGAGTGCCGCTTTCAAGGTTTGACAACAAGCTTTTAACCAGCAGACACACCGTGCTGTAAAATGGTGGTCGCATGCAGGGTGGGGGAGGGGGTAGCTGAGGGTACTCACCTGCCTCGCCGCGGCCATCAGCGACTCAAAGATGCGATCTGCCCCAATTCCCAGGCAGAAACAGCTAATCCATGCAAAAGCCCTTACCGTGGAATTGTCAACTAGCGCAATTAGCCTTACCAACATTGGCTAGCAGCAAGCTCGCAGGCGCATTCGCACGATCTGCCAAATTCACAGCACGCGGATCTAGTCGCTCGCCCGAAAGACCGTCGGACTCATGGCCATCCCTCTCCAGTTGAAACATGTTGAGGTTCCGCTTGGTTTTAAGTCCCGTTTTCGAACGTGATTTCGATGAGTGCTCTCGCTCTCCCTCCACCGAAACAGTGAACCCGTGTCTTTACAGGAACCCATGACCGTCAGGCCAAGCTCGGGAAGGCAGTGGAGACCGTGAAACAGCTGCTACATGCGGAGAGAGTGCCGCAGCTAGCAGGTGGGTCTTTGGCAAGTGGTTCCCTCGGAAGCCTCGGGGCATTCGTGGGTTTCGGCCAGGACACGTCCACCACCAGTACGCGGACAAATACTTGCTCGTGGAACGCGCCACGTGCTTGGCGGCAGCATCACAGCTGTGGCTTGGCAGCCGGATTTCATGCAACACTCACGTATCCAAGTGCCTAACTGCTCCTCACTTTGGGGGTCGGGGTGTTTTGTTGTTCTTCCATGGGGAGCTCTCCAGCCTTGTGGCTTGAGCCATTTCAAGTTTGGTCTGCTTTCGAAGCTTCGGTGCAACGTTTGAGGCTTGCGTTCTTCGGACCGGGGTCTCTGCATGTTATCCGAGCCATTGATGCCCATGCAGGCTTTCACCAGGTCTGTTGAAAACCCTCAGCTAATGTGTTGTTGGCATGAAGGGCAGCCAGGCCTTTGTGTATTGTGTTCGTGGGTTGGCCATCGCCGGCGCAATTCCTTGTTTCGCTGCACGCAGCAACAAGCGGACAAAACGAACTGATCGAATAGAAGCTGCGCAGGAGCTGTCTTGGCGCTCTAGGGCTCACGAATGAGCATCTTCAAACGATGCGCCGCTGGGCTGCTGCAGGTGGGGATCTGTTTGTATCTGTTTGTGAAGCCCTCGAAGTTGTGCTTTGCCGCTTAGCCAGGATCCTCCGTGTCGCTGCGCTTCAAGTCCAAGGCCTGCGAGGGGGATACCGTGTGGTCGGTTTACTCGAGTTGAGGCAGCCTGTAGCTTGATGAATTCTTTGGCCGACTCAGGAAGCTTGCAGCTTCACCAGGGAGGAGACCCGAGAGGAGGAAGATCCGAGGCGGGCTGTTTCAGAAGGCCTCCGCCTCCTTTCGTTCGGTCGGTTGTGACGCCAGTCCAAGCCAATGACATCGGGTCTAGAGTCTAGTTCTGACGACATATCCATCACCAGAGAGTTGTGTTGGGCGCTGAAGAGGTGCCATGTTTTGGATGTGAACAAATGCCGTGCGTTGGGAGCCGACAGGAAGCACGTGGAAGAGACGAGCATTGGTGGCGTGCTACGGAGTACTGTGACCAGCAAGGCTGACAGCTTGTTGAATTTGGCACGGCTCAGAAAGATCAAGTTGCAATGCGCTCTTCAGCTTCGAGTTTTCTTCAATGCATGTGGGGCCTTTGCTGCTAGCAAGTGTGTTTTCGGTCAAGACATCAAGAGCGGCAAGCACTTTTGAGTTTTGCAAGGGGGCTCGAACTGATTATTATCCAATTTACATGGGATGTCTTTCACGGGTCGCAGTTAGTCAGCACCAGTAAAGCAGTGGAAGCTGCTCAGCCGGCATAAGTTGATGTGAAGTCTTCAATTTCTGTAGGTCGTGACGACGATCACCGAGTATTTCTGGAAGTTTGAGGCCAACTATGTGCTGGAGGCTTTCTGTGGAGTTGGCTCAGACTCTGCCGATCGGCTGGTCCTTGTAAGCCACACCGGGGCCGTGGAGTTGAAGACCACAACGAAGGCTCCTGCACCATACCCCGAAGCCAGGGTTCCCGCCATCAACCAGGAGGCAGGAGCCTTCAAGACAAATCCGGCACAACATGATAGGAAACGGCGAAACGGCACAAAGCGTCAGCTGCAAGTCTGCTTTGCCGGCTTTGCCTGGTAGTGATACCCGCAGCCTCCGATTCGGGCATCCTGTCGTGAGTCGCATGAACCCCTGGCGAGGTCAACATCACTTGGCTGATCAACACCTTGAGTGAAGACCAGGTCGCCCCTCAGTTCCAAGTCAATCGGACTGTCCCGGGCTGCAAAACTCCTCGTCGAAACCCGGAGACAGACAGGGCTGCTGAGCACTTCAACTCCTTTACAGATTGGACGCAGTATGTCGCTGAATACTTTCATCACCTTCGAACAGTACAGCCGCGAAAAGCTGATGAAAGCGCGTTCTCGGCCGAGTCTGTCTTTGTGCCAGTGCTTCCGCTGATGTTCGATGCTGGGCCAAGTTGGTACTTTTGATGTGCTCTGCATGTTCGATTTGCCTGATGGGTGTGTCAATCAGGCCTTCTTCATGATCATGCCCCCAGTCCTGTCGGTTGTCGTTGTCGTCCTCTTGTTCCGCATCAGGACAGCAATGTCGAAAACGCAGAGCCAGAAGAACCTCCTTCAGGCCCAAAGGTCAAGATTGAAAGTGTGCAGTGACCTTGTGGAAACGACCGTGGATTGCACTGCTTTGGAAGGGCTTTTCGCCGTGCTACGGTCGAGCCAGCCAGCGCAAGGCAGCCTAGCTGCAGGATACATCTGGCAGTTTGACCTCGACTGCAAGACACTGAGAGGTCCAGTCTTTTCCATTGGAGATGGGAACCGCTTCCTGGCAGAGGAGCTCAGATGTCTCAAGGAGCTGTCTCTCATCAGTTAAAACCAGCATCCATAGCTCGAGTTGCTTTGCAAATCTGTGCAACACACTCAACACGGCTTCGCAGTGGAATTGATTGCCAATGATGGCCATGATATCCATTCACGTGACTGTTCGAGGAGCATCGGAACAATGCCAACCTTGCCTTCCCAGGAGATGATGGAAGCTTTGATCGCAGATGGTTGACGCTCCCGTGGCGTCAAGCATTGTGGAGCCATCGCAAGTATGTGCAATCGCGGTCCCACGACTCCAGGCTCGAAGCTGAGAAGCCTAAGGACTCATACGGGCAGTTGAAATTCACGCAGTGGTCACCCTGCTTCACTGCCGCAATGTGTGCGATGCGTGGAAGAGATCTCTGGACTATGTGGAAGGCTTGCCACCTCTTCTGGAGCACAGTGTTGCCCGCTGCGTGTCCCTAGCCAGGTATGCTCCGACAGCAGCTTGTGGCAGCGATTGGTAAAGAGATTGGTGCAGCTGATTTTGCTGCCTACATGCAGTTTCATTACCGGACGCTTGACTTGCACTGCAAGCCCCGGAGCAGCGTGGCATTGATCCGTTGCAAGTTGCTGCAACTTGCGGAAGGAAATTGTTCCTCGAGCAGTACCAGCCCAAGCAGCAGCTTAGAAGAATGAATAGTGGATAGGGCCGGAATACGGCTTGGGTTTGCCTTGGGCGATGGAGGCAGCTAGGCAGCGCGCATTGATGCTGACTTGATCCCAGGTTTTGCTTTTCGGTGAGGCGCTCCGAGAAGCATTCCCCGGAAGGAACTGTCAGCATAGATGAGGAAGCCATCGGCATCGTAGATGGAGGCAGCATTCGGTCACCCATTGCCTCTGGCTTGCAGCTATGTGACCTTGTGACATGAAGTTGGGCCTACAGGTGGGTGCTGGCCGGGCGGTTTCAGTCATGCACATCATGCGCCCAGGTCGCGATCTCGCAGTGTAGCAGCCAGCCTGTGGCCATGTCTTTTGACCTAAGCGCCTCTACGACAGTGACTTTTTCGGGACCAGTTCACCTGCATGGATGGCTTTCCCACAGCTTTTCCGGGCAAAGTGGAAGCAACCTCTTCCTCACTTCCAGGGCAAGGCAATTCAGCTCCATGGTGGTGTTGGTTGGCAGGGTGACCTCCGCCACCACCTTCGATCCAACCTATGCGGCCATTGTGCAGAACAAAGATGAGCTCACCATACCACTGGAGCTGTCCGTCATTCCAACACCGAAGGAGTTCAAGGATGCGATCGCTTCCCTCTCACCCTCGCAGCAGGCGTTTGCGAAAGCCTTCCGTGCAACTAGCACGGCAGGTTTATCTTGCAGGGTTCGTGGGTCAGCTAATGTTTGGCTGCATCCTAACGTTATTTCGTGTTCATGGCTTGCTTGTCTGAGGCGATGCAGCTTGAAAGCACCCTTTTCGGAGTTACCGTAGTCCAGATCAAGCCGCAGCTGGAAAAACTTTTAAATTTGGCAGAGGACAGCCTCACGAAGGCGGGTTTCTGAGACGATGCTGTTTCTCATCAAAATGTGTCCTGGGGACTTGATGGCGTGCAGCAGGAGATCAAGCTGACTCAAGACCTCTTGGAACTGTTTCTGAAGTGCCTTTCACGTGCTTGGTTGCTTTCGATCTATGAAGTGAGCGTCGGAGAGTCGGAGGGAGGGAGCTTCGGCGGAGCCAAGCCATGCCGGAAGGTACCAGATACCAAGTGACCTTCTCTCCTTCGACGGCGGAGCCGACAGCGCATCTCCAGGTCCAGGCACCTTTGCACCTCCGGCACGGTCCGGGGAGCGCGTGGCGGCTGTCCGGGGCCATGCTCCTAGGCCAGAAATAGACAAGAAGCCAAGAACACACGCCACGTCTCGTCACGTGCTCGAATCCACACCTTCAACCCCTGGACCAGGTCAAGGCGATGTTCGACATGATCGAGCAGGAGAAGCGCAGAGAGATTGAGGAGCGTCGCCGGGAGGAAGAATATCTACGCCCGGGACCCTGTTCTAGGAGCAGTATCCAGCCACGGAGTCGCCCTCACCCCCAGCACATGCCATCGGGAGCATTCACCACATTGACAAGTACCGCATATACGGCCCGCTTGGCAGTGAGAAAGGTGTCCCAGAAAGACTCAGGTCCGCAATTGATGGAAATCCAGTGCGAGGAGGCCTTTCTAGAGGGGCCGGATTGTTTATTGCGCGCTGACCAGTGGTGACGTGGCTGCCTCGTGCCCCGGAACCTGCGTGCCTGCTGCGGCTTGTAGCGGTAGCGTCCTTGATTCATGCCGCAGCGGAGGACGTTATGGAGAGAAGTATGTGCGCTTTCGACGACTTCCAGGAAGAAAGGAAGGACGCCGAAGCAGGCAGAAATCAGATTCATATATTGTAAGGCAGCATCATCCGACGGCGCCCATAACGGGACCGTCGCCCGCAGAACACTTCGCTGACGGTTCAAAGACCGAGAGCCGCCGGATAGCTGAGGCCTGAAGACCAAGGTGAAGAAGAAAAGGGCGAAGCCGGGACCTGAGCAAAGAAGTCCAACCAACCTCACTCTCTTTGCAAGGAGAGGGGTCAACAAAAAGGCTGTTTAAAACAACGAGAAGCGTCTCTTGTTCGGCTTAATCGCCTTCAGGCAGAAAGACGCCAGGCCAGGCGCAGCACAAGAACTGCTAGTGATTAGTGTCTGAGTTTTGTTATGAGATCTGATGGTGCCAGGGCGAGTGCGAGCGAAGTCGTGCTGGAGATCACGGCAGACTCCGTTTCTAGACCACAGGAAATTTCGGCGTGCAGAATGTTAGAGAAACAAGCGACTGCTAAGCGAAGAGCCGATGCTGCAGGAAGAAGCTTCCGAGTCGCAAGCGCCGAAGGACTCCAGATCACCCCAGCGTGATCTGATCCCGGCCTGGCTGAACTTAAGCGCGACAGTTGTCTTGCAGGAGGGCTCCGAGCAGCCCCACGAGAACCAAGGCGCACCCTGAATGTCCTCAGGGATGTTTGAGAAGACGCGTAGGAACTGGAGGTGACTGGGGTCGAAGAAGCTTTTGCCTTTCGCTCGCTCTCGCTCTCGCTCTCGCTCTCTCTCTTTCTCTCTCTCGTGCTCTCCGTTCCGTTTCTGCAATCAGAAAGGAGGACAAGGTGCGATTCGCCGCGCCGTTGTCCACTTGCATCAGTGTCCCTGCAGGAGCCGCAGCTGCATCGAACGACGGGGCAACGAGAGACTTCACGCAGGCGGGCATTCAAGGCTTGAAGGCAGCAGTCTGCCAGCGGCGCCCAGTGCCTGGAAAGCTGTCAGTTGTGCCACTGAAACCTCGGACACGGTGCTTGCATATGTTTGCCAATGAGCAGGTTCCACAGGAGCTAGACGAAAGGTTTGAGAAGCTGGACCCGTTTTTGCAAAGCGCTGGATGCAGTGCCCCTTTCTTGGCTTGCAGTTCCTGGCTCCTGACCTGGAGCTGCAAGGACCCTGACAGCGCACTGCGGCCGACAATCATCACCCCAGGACGGGTCTGACGACATGCATGCATTGCACGGACCTTGCAAGTCTGTACAGTGTACAGTCTAGATTCGACACCTTGCTTTCTGACACCTTCCCTCTCCTGTGACACCAGCAAACATGTGGTGGGAAGAGATGCCTCCTGCTCCCAGACGTAGTGTGCTGATCGGCGGCAGGAAGCCTATGGAGCAAAAGGGCACAAAAGTCTTTGCTGTCGCCGCCTACCACTTTCAGCCTCTCCAGTGACGACCAGAAGCGCGAGAAGGAGCGCAACTTGCCGGCTCTCCGCCGATACCCTGTCTGCTCGTTGAACCATGTTCCACCAAGGGTACCACTACACAGACCAGAAGATGTTCGGGTTTCCTTGAGTTGATCAGTTGGTTGTGCAGTCGAGGCAGGGATAGGCATTGAGGGTAGGGTTACAAAGGTGTAACAATCTTCGGTTGCGAAAATTTCACGCCGACCTTGGCGCTGGACGCGGGCTGTTGGGCCCCCTTCACGCCCCTGCCTAATGCCTGAGCAAACCGGCCCCCGACGGCGAAAGCAAACGGTGCCTCAATCGAGGTCACCACGGCGCCATGACAGACAGCCGTTGTATCTCACTTTTTCACGGTTGCGTGCACTTATGGTTGGCTTACGGCAAGTCAGAACTTCAGAACATGAAGCAATAATGATGTTGTCCAGCCACCCGCCCACACACCCACACGTCCACGCATGGACGCACACGCACAGACCCAAACACACTTTGGCTTGGCAGGGGTAAAACTGCAAAGAACATACGACAGGGACCGACAATGAAGATAAAGGACAGCAGGACATGATATGCACATAATTTTGGTGCGTAAGCACGCCAGACACCAGGAATGCAATGCAAAAATAATGATGCGTGGGGGTAGGATTCTGCGCGGGTGTCCCACGCCGGGGCCCAGTTTTTCCTGGGGTGTAGGGGAGAGCTTCATTGGGCGGAGTCCCCCCACACCGCCTCCGCCCTTGTGCATTTGGTTAGCAGTGTACACACACACACACACACACCCGTGCACACGCAGCGGAATCAATGAAACAGCTATCGGCATGACTTTCGAAGAAGTGGCTAGCAAGTTTGTTTTTCATAGTAGCCCATTGCGGCGCACGCCGCAGGACGCAGCTTTCGATTTGTTGGATGCCATCACGAAGCAGCTCGGAAGTACACTTGGTTGAGATTCGAAGTCGCCAAGGATTTGTTTGTAGACGCAGGCAGCTCAGTTCAGTTGAAGCCAGCGTCAGGCAAAACACTTGCGTGTGTCGGCTTTGCGGTATTTAGCTTAAGCAAGCTTATGAAATCATGGAGTTGTCCCACTTCTGTAGCGACGGTCGTGTTTGCCCTGCATGGCGCTGGTCGCTCAGATCCGGAGCTATTGAGCTCAGTGATGCCACTCTTCACATAGTCGTCGCAGCGACGCATTGTGACTGGGGCAGCAGTAGAATGCTTCCAACATGGTCTTGTAATTGCGGTCTCGAGAATCGAGTGTTGAGAGAGTACTGCTAAGAAAACCGTCCGTTTCTTGCTGCCGCATGGGTGCAGGTTTTACGAAGACCGTCATGGACTGTGCAGTTCAGGACCGTGCAGGGAAGATATGCAGTTGGAGCAGGGGGTCAACAGATGCGGAGACCTCCACACACACGCGAAGACAATCGCCTTTTAGGATTGTATGATTGATGTAAGTAAGTCAGTGAGTCAGTGCGGGAGTGAGTGAGCGCATCCGTCAGTCGGCAAGTGGGACGTCCACAAGTCCGTCCGTCGTTGCGTTCGTGTACGTATGGATGCATGTAGAACGACATGTAGGTGTCCAGGCGTGCAGGCATGCAAATAAGTAGCACGTATGGTTGTATGCAGGTGTATATGTATGTATGTCTATGTATATGTATACGTATATGTGTACGTGTATGTGTACGTGTATGTGTATGTGTATGTGTGTGTATGTATGTATGTATGTATGTACGTATGCTGCGCATGCGTGCATGTGTGTATGTATGTATGCATGTATGGGTGAAGGTATGTATGTATGTATGTATGTATGTACGTATGTATGTAGGTGTGAATGCATGCATGCATGCATGCATGCATGCATGCATGCATGTAGGTATGTATGTAGGTATGTAGGTATTCATGTGGGTATGTAGGTACGAATGTAACACACGTCGGCATGATGTATGTATGTATGTATGCATGCATGCACAATGTCTGCATGTGTGCAGTACGAATGCATGCATGCATGTATGCATGTTCATGTATGCATGTGTTAGTGTATGTACTTACTTGTTTATGTATGTAGGCTACGCATGTATGCATGTATGCGCACGTGTGTGTGTACATGCATGTCAGACTTATGTGAGTAAGCAAGTATGTATGTAGGTATGTATTTATGTATGAATGTACGTACCGAAGTAGCAGCTATGTATGCATGTATGAATGTATGTATGGAGCCAGGATGCGGAGGCTCGAGGAAAGCTTCAGGCTGCTGCTAAGACCCTACAAACCTCGCCTGACCTGGTCGAGCGCGAGTGCTAAACAATGTAGGTATCCCGTGTGCAAGCATTGCAAGTCATAATAGTGCAATTGGGGCAGAGCCGAAATTCGGGCGACTTCCGAACCGTCAGCTGTCGCGAATCTGGTTGGCTTCTTCACGATGACAACACTGCCGCTACAGTGAGGCACGAGCAGAAAAGGACCATACAAACCAACTCCTAACTATATGTCTTCACACTGCTCGGCTCACAAACTCCTTAATCAATTGGAGCTCGCCACCCTGCCAGTGCTTGGACTTTCGAGTCGGCTGGTGGGGTGAGCGCGCTTCTGCATCGCTCTCAACTCAATAGCCGCACATCAACTTTGTCAAAGATCTGTGTCAACCGACCACCTCGCAAGGACCTCTTTGCCGCGCGGGAAGATGTATGTATGTATGTATGTACGTACGTACGTAGGTAGGTAGGTAGGTAGGTAGGTAGGTAGGTATGTATGTATGTATGTATGTATGTGAGTGTATGAATGAAGCTTTTTTTCTCTTTTTCTGTCTCTGTCTACTTTCCCTCTGTTTTGCATATACCGCTTGGGCGCACCGCCACCACCTGCACCGGTGCGAGGACAATGTCAACCCTGTCGAAAGAGTGGAACGCTCCGCCTTGATCATGGCATCCACTATCCATCAGCAACCCGTCAAAGAGCTGGTCAATCCGAGCAGCTCCTCGACTGAATGCGGCGCGGAAAGTGAGCACAATGCACGTGCCTCGTCATGAACCTTTCGTCTGTCTTGCCCGTGTACCGAGATGTTCCGCGACTCAGCGCAGCCTCGCCACAGATGTTCCTCGAAGATGGACACTGAGTCTCGGTGATGGGCCTTGTGGCATGCGTGCCAAAGTTCGCAGCCCCTCAGAGTTTCCACTGCAATTCGCACTGGCAATTCCCGATCAGCTGTCAAGTGATAATGACCCAGTGCGGGCTCTCCGGTAAGAGACGAGTCGCCCCTGATCTCAGACTGCACTGACAGCAAGAAGCCCCTGGTGTAGCACAAAACTGCTGATCAGGATCCTGAGGCCCAAGCCCAACAGTTGTTGATCAATTCGACTGGACGCACCGCTTGGTTGATGCGAGGTAGGTGCCCTTTATGGCTTGTACAGTTTGCCGCCTCGACGGACGGAAACATGCTTTTGTATCTGCATTTCCAGCTTGTTTCGAGCACCCCAGGCCCTAGCCTTGGTTTGCGACCTTCTCCATCTGTACTGTTTGGGAAGGCGTTATTTGCACCTTGCCCTTGCCCAAGGTGCCGAGCTCCTCAGAAAGCCCTGTCGCGCCTCTCCACGCGATCAGGCACAAAGCAGTGTTCGGTTCTTCCCTTAAGTCCTTAAGTCTTGGACTTGGACCTGACGAGTTGACTCTTGACAGTTCCCCGTCTTAAGCTACAGTGGCACCATTTGTGAGGAGGGGCTGCTTGCAACGCCTCGGGCTGAGCCGTTCCGTTCTCCACACCCACCTCCCAGTTGGCCTGCCTTGCAGCAAGACACCACAGCTGCGTGGGAAGTTAGGAAAGGCCCACATGAATTTGCACATCCATGCGTGCTTGAGTGAACCGTACTCTTTGTGCGCGTGCACTCGGCGTGCGTGCGAGTAAGATTCGCGAAAGGACCTGCTTTGTCAGCCGAGGCTGGCCCTGACAGCTTCAGATTGGCACGCTGACGTGCGGAAGCCCTCCTTGACGACGCTTTGCAGTGTGGCAGAGGCCTGGTCTGCAAGAGACTAGCTGAGTGGAGCCCTGCGACATCAGGCCACCAAGGGCAGAGGCAATCTCGGTCGGGCAGCGGTCGCTGCCGCTTGCTTTATTGGTGGGATGTGCGAGCACACCGGTGCTGGCTGAGCTTTGGCATTCGGAGACCAGAAGAGCCAGAAAACCAGACAATCCGAGGGGACTTTTTGGCATGTTCAGCGCAGCAATTCCAAGGCTTTGGCTCCCAAAGCCTGTGAAGGAGTTGCAGAAGCTGCAGCATGCCTGAAGAAGTGGCTCGGTGTCATGGGAGAAGCTGAGAAGCCGGCTCTGTTTCATTCACGGAGTGTGCCTCACACTGCTACAATGCAAAGCTCGATCGCCAATCAACCAGAGTCCGAAGCTGGAGAGAGAGTCCTGCTCAGGCTTGGCATCTGCAGCTGAGTGCATGCCGCAGCTGGAAAGATATGCTCAGTCAGTCGGTCAGCAAGTCGCGGTGTGTGTGTGTGTCTTTGTTTGTCTGTCTCTGTGTGTGTGTGTGTGTCAATCGCCAGCGCCGTTATCTTGCTAGCAGTGGATGTTCCTACCAGCATAATTATAGTTGATACATGTACTCTGGCATATCGTCGCTGCAGGGCATCCGATCAGTTTTTTGTGAATTAGATGGCCGTGGTAGGTCTCCTGGCAACACGACTTGGCGATAGCTTGGCGAGGTTGCAGATGTTCTTCTTGCATGCCATGGCTGGCTTGCCAGGATCTAATTAAATTAGGTGGACAGCCGATGTCCACTCTGCCAGTCAACAAGCGTGCCGCAAGCTGGCTGGGTGAAAGCAAAAACTTGACTCAAGCCGGCAGCAGGCGGTAGAGCTGCAGAAGGCTACCTGCAAGAGCAGAGATGAGAATGCAGATCTACTCTTTGTGATGGACTCAAGCTGTCGGAGTGTGAAACCTTGTGAAGGCGCGCGGCCTTGGGAGAGAACTCCGCGCGGGACTGGTGCAGCCCGCGGTGGTATCTTTGATGCGCTGCATTTGGCATTCTCCTACAGTGTGGATCTTGGTAGAACAATGGAAGGAAGAGGCATGCTGCAGCACTGCTTTTGCTCATTTGTAGGCATGCACGTCTTGCTGTCAGCTGCTGCACCTGCGGCGCCAGCAGGTACACGCCCACGTACAATACCGGTACCTCTGGCGACGCCGGAACTGGAGGCGGAGGATGTCACACAGGTATCTGGTGTCCGTCGTTTAGCTGCTCAGCTTGTCCTGCTGCAGGTGCAGGTGCAAAGCACGAAACCCTTCCCGGCAAATCCAGTGCGCCATTCTGGTCCCGTGAGGCAGATGGTAACCTGTCCCAACTCCGATGTCGCCTGTTGCTCCAAAGCTTTTGCAAGCCCCCCTGCCTCCCAGACTCGAGGACCCTTGAACACTACATTTCTTCAATAGTATATGAATACGGTATATAGGATCATGCGGGATCCAGCCCTACAATTTCAGAAGAGTTCCTTTACTTGAAGGGTCCGCGGGTTTGGGAGTCTGGGTGCAACAGCCTAGCTTGCAAGGGCGCAGCTGCCCGTGCTGCCGCCAGAAAGCAAAACAGGCCAGCTTTTGTGTAGAGCACATTCGGCACAAATCTCGTGGCCGTACAGAATCGCTGTTGCTAGGCAGAAAAGAGCCATCGAGGTGGAGGAGCCCAGTTTGAAGTGCCACAGTTCATGGACTCCCCAAATTGTGCGTCTCTCTCACCCCCTTGCCATCTCGAATTTTTCCACAGGATCAACCACCCGTCGAGACCTCGCCTTCTGAGGCAGCGGGGGCATGTTTTCACCTCCTCGTAGTAGCTTCTTTCCATGAATGTGAGGGTGTCGGCAAGCCCGATTTGGACGAGCATCCTGTTGAGAGTTCGTTGTTGGCAGATCACCTGGGATTTCAGGTAGCTGTCGCAAAGCAGTCGATCCGGACGAAGGCGGAGCTGCTGCCAGTACAACTGCTTGCTGCAAGCAGGTTTTATCTTGTGCACATTTGGACCCGCAGCCATCAGAGAGGTGATGTTTACAAAAGCCGGATGCAAAAGTAATGCAGTAGCAATGGCACAGCATACTTGCCAACGTAAAAATTCCGAAGGAGACCCGAAACTTCCAGATTTCACCGAGCGATGATTCAATGCAGCTGGACTACCTAGCCGAGCTGGGCATTGTCTCGCAGCCGGGCATGACAGCCTTTTTTTCTGTCTGTGTGCGGAGCTACACTTGTTGCCGGTGTTGCCCGGCTTGGAGGCTGCCGGGTCGCGAGGAACTGGAACATGCGTCTCGCGAAGACACTGGGAAACACGTGCTTGAGTTCCAAAAAGCATCCTGAAGCTTTCGCTCTCTCTGTGTTCTGAGACTTGTCTGAATTCGAGGACTTCGATACCTGGCTCTGGGGCCGGCTTTGCGATGGTGCCCTGGGGGAACGGTGACTCGAAGAGAGATCATAAGGCTCTACTCAGAGATCCTAGAACAGCGATTTTTGGTGTGGTGAAGCTAGGGTTTCGCAACACCTGGACTGGAACAGCCTCCTAGGTTTCCAGAGACCTGCCACCGCGTAGCAGAGGCCGGGGCGGCCTGCTCTTGCAGCCATCAACGATTGTGAGGAATGATGAAGGGACACATTGGGATGAACAGAATTCCTTTGGTCGGAACCACTTCCGTGTACTCGGACTCGGAGGCTGCTTGCTCCTGGCGGAGTCGTTTTCCACCTCCTCTCTGGGCCGCTGGTCTCGATAGCTTTAACGGTACCGCAACGCAGCGTGGAGTTTCTTGTGAAGTTCCAAGGGGCGGCTTGCGAGGGACAACTGCTCCACGCTCATCAAGGAGTCCGGGATAGTCCGGGGTCCTCTGAGATGAGTCGTGCTGCATCAGCGGGAAGAGCTGCATAGACCTGCTTTGTCAAGCTGTATCGGCACTGCTGAGTCCAACAGCATAGCAGAGAGATCTTGACCGGCCGGCGGTTGCAAGGAAGCTCGAGAGGCCGTGCCCACCATTGCATTCGTGCAAGACTGCCTGGCTGCACCTCGCTTTGGATAGTGGACGGCAAGCCTGCAGCACCGCCTCCATTCGCAGCTTTGCACATGAGGAGCTTGATCCAGCTGATGGGCCAATCACGATCGTGGACTCTTGTCAAGGGAAGACAGGTGATGGCAAGAAGCGTTGATATGTATGTCAATGCTTGATACTAGCAGTACAGAGTTGATGCACGTGCGGTGAGCAGAGAGGCGACAGTACCGGCAGAACCGCTTTGTGCTAGGATTTGTGCTCTGGCCTCGGGTTTCTCGGCATGTTCTTGGCCGAGCTGCTGCCAGCTGCACGAGTGCATGCGGCTCATCAGCAATGAGTACGTAGTGGTGTAGCACGTTGAAGGGAAGAGTACGTAATTTGATCAAGTCATGTTCAGAACCGCAAGCGCTGCAAGAGCCCTCCTCGCGCTGGGGTTGGAGGGAATAGCGTGCACGGTATGCGAGGGAATAGTGATTGACCAAGTACTGCGCCTCCTTCCTGGCTTCCTTGCATGTTCCAGCTTCACCGAGGGCTGTGTTCTTGTGGACCAAGCGTGGCCTCTCAAAGGCCGCCAATGCTTTGGCATGTATCCACGGGTCGATTTCGGGTCAATGATGAATGACTTCGAAAGGGTTCCTTAGCAACAATTTCGTTTCTCGTTGAATCGTTTGCCACACAGCAGTGGCTGCATAGACCTTCCCCACAAAATATTGACAGATCAGCTTGTGCGTTTTCTGTTGGATTACAGGGCCGGCATTAGCCCACTTCCCTGACATCTGTGCCGTCATCATTGCACTTGCAGGTGGAGTCCCAGAGCCGCAACAGAGCAAGAAGCATCGCACCCGCCTGCGGCTTGGTTGAAGTCGAAGTCAACATATAATACGGGCCAAGGTTCTAGTTAGCCAGAGATTTGCTCGAGCTTGTGTTTGGCGTGCTCACGGGGTGGGTTCTCAGCTTTTGTGACTCTTGCATGGTTGCGTCGCTGGCGGCTGCGGCCTTCCAGCCGGATAGGGCATATGATGCAAGTAGCAACAGTAAAACAGTACAACTAGGTCCTCTATACGGTGCTCTGGCCAGATTTTCACTTCGCTCCCTCAACCCGGATGAGCAGGGCTGCCGATGGATGGGGATACCGTTGGTTTGAGAGCACATGAATCATGAAGCCTCGGGCATTTCCTGCCAAGGAACTGGGATCACATTTACAATCTTCCTTGGCCAGTTCCCCTTGTTACGCGCAGATCTGATCTGAAACTACCATCCACCCAAGCGCAAATTCTCTCCCGCCGCGGGGCTTGCAACATCAGCTGCGGCAGTTTGCGTGCAATGTGCGACCCATGTTGCTTTGAACCGGTCGAGTCAGCGTATGGCAGAGCTGCGTAAAATTGGAAATCCAAGGAATCTTGGAGCCAGCGCCCGGGCCGGTAGTGGTGCTTGGCATCCACCTATGTGGTGCTCGCCTCTGGTTCTGGCCAGGTTCTGGCCAAATGGACTCGCAACCCTGCATGGGTGCTCAGAAAGTTCGGGCTGATGCTGACGTGCCCAGGTATCCTAGCCATCCGAGCTGTGGAAACCTTCAACATCGGGCCCAAGTGTGTCGCCTTTGCTTTGATTCTTGTCACCAGGGACATGCAGTCGAACACTGCTTGATGGATGCTGCGGACTGCCAGAGTTTGCCAGAGCATGTCCAGTTCAACCCGCGTCCTCAGGAAGCCTTGCTGCCTTCCACCGCTACAGTATGTGGCTGGGCATACGAACAAAACTAGCCAACGAAGGCAGTGTTCTTGTGCTCTGAGGCGAAGAGCCAAACCCGCTGGACTCTTGGCACCCACACCTTTGCAGCTGCTGAGGCCAGCGAGAACAGCGGCTGTCCGCCTTGTCTGGGCATGTCTTATGGGGTCAGGTCTGCGCAAGAGGCAAGTACAACAAGAATGTGTGGAACGGGCCGGCCAAGGCCCTCCGAAGACGACAAAAGGGCTTTGCGAGGAACAGTTGGGCCATGTTTGCTCATGTTGGCTCCATGAAGCAGAATGATGCTGCTTGCCAATCGAATCAGATTCGATCGGGTCAACCTGAAGGGACGATGCAACACAGCCGGGTCCCACGCGCACAGGGACAGCAAAGCTGTTGTCAGAACTGATGCGAGCGACAGGCCACATTGGCACCTCGCTTTCGCATGTGGTCAAGCAATCTTTTTCGTGGCCTGTTGGCAGAGCGTCCGGCGCTGAGGCACACAGTTGTGGAATGTTTTGTGCGCCTGCAAACAATTCGAACGGTTCGTCGTCCCGATCCTGTCTTCCCAAAGCAGTCGTTAACAGCACTGTTGTCGTGACTGGTGCACCCGAAGCCTTGAGGCAAGGAGTGCTTGCACGTCGAGCTTGTGGAGGGGCATTACCAGGCGTTGCCAGGGAAGTTGCAATTGTGATGTGTCGGGTAGGAAGGTGGGGTGCAACGACTGCGAGAAGTGGGTTCGTGGAGAAGGTTCCTGTTGTGTAGATAGATATGCGTCTGACCGGAATTCTCCATGTACGGTCATTTTTTGGAGGAAGGAACCTACGGCTCCTGACTCTGGCGAGCACAGCAGGGACGAGCGAACTAGGTTCCGACGCTTGCACGGCTGGCTGCGCCAAGGATACCTACCTCTTCGGCCGTCGGCAGTTCTCGTCAAAGAGCCCCAAGCTGCCGGAGGAGCTTTCTGCAGAGGCTCCCAATTTCAAGGAAACCCGTCATTGGCACCGTTTTGGAGCAGCGAGCGGAAATCTTGGGGTCCGGGCATTCGGGCCCTTCCAGGTTTGCCTTGCAGCACTGCTTGGCTAAGTGACGTATGTCGTCTTAGCAGGTCCAAGCACCCTCTCTGTTGCCAGGCTTCTCCACAACAAATCGCGCGGAGGATCTTGGAAGCCAGCGAGGCTCACGAGGTGCTACTTGGCTCTCTTTTGTGACATGGACGAGAATCCGGCGGGGCATGGGGCTCCACGTGCAGCTGGGACGTGGTTGCCAAGGCTTGGTGTCCCGACAGATGTTTCCATTCGTCAGTTGCGACGCCGTTGGACCGCTCTTGCGCACGCGCTCGGGAACGAGAGTTCAGAGACACGACTGCATCAAATCTAGATGTTACGAAGCTCCTTTTGCTTACCAGCTTCAGAGCATGGGCAGCTTGTGCTAAGGAGTGCATTGCAGCATTTCAGAAAATCAAGGATGCGTTCGACGAGATACGAAGCATGCGTAGAAGTTCAGACGACGGAGAGGACAAAAGCACTGTGACGATCGTGAAGATTGCCGTGTCTGCAGTGCACTTCAACAGCTCACCATTGCGCAGTCCAGCGCTCTCTCCAGCGCAGTCCAGTGCGCCAGGCGCTCCGACTCAGCATGTGGCGCCTTCTGCGAGCCCCCACAGGCAGGCAATCCGCAAACGCACGGTGGTTCGGCTGGTGGGCAGATTATTGGTGAAGCCGTGCCAGCTCGGAGCCGCTATAATGTTTTGACCGTAGCTCTTTGACTCCAATTTACTCCACATTTCTCGTTTTTGGACGTGCAGGCAGGCCGCCAAGTCAGTTGGTCAGAAGATTCCGCGTGCGTGACTGCACTGTCGTCGCAGGAGATCTGCCGATGTCATCTCGGAAACGTTTGCGAGCCAGGGCACTCAGTAACGAGATGCATCGCTAGCCTCGAAGAGCATGACATGAAATGCCTTGTTGGCACTTGGCACCGCTGGATGCAGCGATGATCTTCCTGTTTTGGCAGAAAGCACACAGCGTTTAACGAAGCTGAGTCTGCGCAGGTGGTATGTGCAGCGCTGATGACGCGACCAGCAAAGGATCGGAGCCGGCAAAAGAGAGCACCAAGAAAAGGTGATGGAAGATGCATCGCTGACGGCCGTGCTTAGTCTCGATAGGTGAATCAGTCTCCAGATTGGCATTGTTGGCAATCGCGTTCTGCCTGTAATTCTGGGCGCTTCAGGACCCTGGCTGTCCATAGCCACATCCATAGACATGCCAGAATGCGCCGCAAGCAGGATGCGCGAGTGGTCCATTGCTTCGGCAGTACTGTACCTGTTGCATGGGCCCGGGGTCAGGAAGTTTCCTGTGAAGTTGCCTTCACTATAGCCAGGCTCAAGTGGGCAGTGCAACCTGCAACACCAGTCAACCACCAATCGAGATTTTGAGAGCACTACGGTGAACCCCAAAGAAACAGATTTTGAGTAGTGGGAGGCAAAAAAGACATTGAGTAGACATCTGCTTGGCAATGAATGTTCTAATCATGATGAAGGACCAAGCTTGCAGCATGCGCACACACCCCACACGACACCCAAGACCCAATCCCCAGTCCAGCTTGGACGAAACAGGGTAAAGAGGTAAATTGAGCCACGCTCGCCCTCATGGGCCGTGAGTTCAGGCCATGCAGCAACTCGATCTTCCCCTCCTTTGTTGAACGTCCGTTTGAAGATGCTCGTTGTGCCGCATGTCCATGCAGGCCGCAGCCGTTCCATGTCCTAGCAGGCCCCGGGTTGCGAACAGGCCAGATTGTGTGACATTGTGTGTTTGCCCGTTTGCACAAGGGATGGGATGCCTTTAACCGAAGAGGCTGAGCGCATGTTCAGAATTGCTTGAATAAGGCGAGCGTCTGGCAGTCGAGTTCGACGCAGCGATATTGGATCTGGTCGCGATCGGTACTCGGGCATTGCAGTTGAAACCGGCCATCTTCATTTTCGCAATGCTCCCAGCCCTACACATGTGAAGTGAGTGGCTAAGAGATCCAACTTTGAGGCCGGTTTCCAAGATTCAAGCCGAGTCTGTGGTCGAGTTTGAGCTTTGTCTGCAAGACTGGGGCTACAGGTTGCTAGCTCAGACCTGTAGTGATAAGGTTTCCGTTGGGCAGAGTTTGGTTGGTGGAGGCTTGAAGCCTTAACGCAGTGAAGTCTTCCGAATGCTTCAGCAAAGCATAAGCGCTTTTGCATCGCCCAGGAGCTGCCTTCGCTGTTCGATCAGAGGCTGTCCTGTATAATTGTAATGAAAGGCCACCGAAGCTGGACAGTGCAAGTCAGGAGAGAAGGGGCTTGGCATGAGGCGAGTGCAGTGCAGAAGCTGCTTTCATCCGTGCTTCGAGGCCACACGAAGATGCGACGGTGGAGGCCTGGCCTGATAAAAAAGTGCTGTAAAAGTGCTATCCAATTGCTCAGAGGCCTGGCTTCAAAAATATTTAGATTCGGGTGGCAGAGATGGAGCTGGGAACCCAGAGCTGTGCGTTCAATTAGTTTTGTCGTCTTGAGGGCAGGTTTGTCAATCCGACTTGCTTATTGCACGTGTTGCTGAGGAGATTGTCTTGGAGGCATGCCCGTGCATTTCTTCCGTCTGCTGCGGCCATAGGACACTGAAGTTCATGTTTTGCAGGGCCGAAAGCCTTGAACGACTGCAGATAGGCGTAGAATGCGGAGCCGAGACTGGCGAAGACAGCGCAGACCGAACTTAAGTGAAAGATGGTGCCAGGCGAAATGCTGCGCAAAGTTGCAGCTCGCAATCGAAGAGCAACCCGAGGACTTTGTGGTTGTGCTACACGCATGTCCAGCCCTCTCCTTGTCAATTCTACAGTGGTTGATGACTTCCGGCATCTTACGGCTGTATCGGCATGGTGTTTCAGCAAATCGCTGTACCGAGACGCCTTCCCAGCTACGCTGTGTTGCTGAAGCTCGTTTCCTTCTGCAACGTTTGCGCAGGTCTGTCCAGTTTTCCGGCATCTGATGTCACAGTTCGAGGCCAGGATATTGGCCTCCGCTCCGGTATGGGTGATAGCATTTGGAGGTTGAAGGGTTGGAGGGTTTTGAGGTTGAGGGTTTGGCAGACTTCTGGCGACTTTAACTATCGTTAATTACGAGGTGCCTAGGCCGGTTCAGGTTCAGGGCAAAATGCTTCGCTGCATGAGGATCGCCAGCGGTCTCCAGTCTCACGGATACGAGCAGATTGCGAACATAGAAGTCATACCTCCGTACACTCACACGTTCATCTTCCGCCCGGAGTGCAGAGGTGGCCTTGGTGGCCTGGCTGGAGGAATGGCCTCCGGCTGAACCCCACAGACAGGTCCGAGATACGAGGGCTTCCACCACTTTCGCTGAAAGGATGTGAAAGTGGTACAAAGTGACATGACAGGGGCTCTGCGTCTCGAGCGGCGAGATCTCTCCAGAGCTCCTGGAGCTGGGACCCAAGCACCAAGCAGCTGATCCAGGGACCGACAGCTGGGCAACCTCCCCAGTATCGGACAGGCAAGGAGGTTTTGCACATTATTGCACTTTCTGGGGCGCAGTTGCAGTGATTATTGCGTTTCGGAACGATGCAGACTTGCAGGTATATGAATGTCGCAAGGAAGCTCTTGTATCTTGCAGTCTGTGTGTCAGTGCATGGTCTCGGAGAGGTCATGAGTTTCTTTCTGCGCATGTTGAAGCTGCGAGGCTTCAGCTTCATAGTGTTTTGGCCTTGCTTGGTGAAGGTGCGGGTGCCCTGACTGTTGCTTCTGTCAGAGCCTGTGCGAGCTAACGCGTGCTGGTCTGCCAGGTGGCTTACTCGCTGCGCTGTCTGAACACCAGGCCTTACCTGTACAAAACGGACATGCGCGATACGGAAAGTCACACGACGCGATAAACAAGCAGAAGCGGTCCTACCGCTTGGTTGCTGGCATCAACAGGGAAGTCAGCATCGTCAGATTACGCTGTATTTGCCAAGGCGTCTGTCAGGCTGTTTCAAACTCATAGGCAACGAGTCGAAGGGGGCATCTCATCGTTTGAACACCCGACAGTGTTTCGTTGTGCCAGCAATTTCCAGCAAGCCTGTCACGAACCTGTCAAGGCTGTAGTGGACGGTTTCCGAAGTGTGCGGGGCTTGGATAACACTGATGGCCGTGGCTGCAGAGTGGCGACCCCCCTTTTATGTGCTGCTATCAGCCTTTTGAGGTTGCTATAGCCTGGATTTTCAAGCTCCACTCTCTGTACGGCCTGGAAATCCTGAGTCAGCCCGGCCTCAGAAACCCTTTCATGCGATGTTTGTCGAGCTGTGCGCACACCTTCGATGTTGGAACGATATACGAGTTTTTAGGCTGCCCCGGAAGTTTAAGCACATTGTTCTGCTGTTTGACGTGCTTAACCCAGCTTTCAGACTGAGGCATGAGCGAGTGACCGCGAAAAGCGCCAGTCATCTCTCGATGCTGTCCTGGGAGCTCTTTCAAGACATGGCCTCAGCAAGCGGCCAAACAGTGGCCGGGCTGTTTTTGCACAGGATCCCCTTGATTTACAACAGCAAGGCATCAGCATGTCATGTGGACTTTTGCTTTTGTTTGCCTGCTGTTGTTTGCCTATATTATATATGTGTCTAGTGACCTACGAACGGAGTTGAGCGCGTCGAAGGTAGGAACTCGCAGGTGGAGGAGCTGTTGCAGAGTCCCTTTTTCCGCCCCCAAGTCGGGGCCCCAGTTTGGACATCGCCGGTTGTTCCACAGGTTTTTGGAAGCATACGCAGATGAAGTCAGAGGCGTTTCATCACCTGTTGTGCGACATGACAGGAGATGAGCCTATGGCGCTTTGCGAAGCGCTGGTGCGTGGAAGGCAAGCTGCTTTTCTATTGGCACCATAGGCTGTAGAGTCTTTAGAGTTGGAGTATCGAGCCTGCACTGCCTGCAGACACTCCGTGCGCAGTTGATTCCCCACATGGTCGCACAATGTCGCACACGACAGCAGAAGATGGCGTTTGATCGGCAACTGTGAATCATAAGCTATCAGCTTCGGCACCTCATGCGGCCTGAAGATCCGACGATCGCAGCGCGGTCAACGATTCTGTTTCTCACAGTGCGGCGGCCTGTGCCCGTAGACGCAAGCGGCACGATACGTGGCGCAGGGGAGAGAGGTAAAGGTCGTGCAGACTACCACAAGCTTTAAACCCACAGGCTTGGCAAGACACGCCCAGGTCAACTCAAGTCCCCTGATCTACCAGGTTTGGAAGGGAAACTCTGTACTTATACCGCTTGTTCCGTCCTCGTAGGCCCGAACAAGCGCTCAGGCTTGGGGCCTTGCAATCAAAAACTTGTGAGCATCGCTGGGAACAATCCGGCTCTTTGTCGGAGCAGGTCCAGGAAGGCCTTTCGCATCCACATTAGCTTCCCGAATCTCCTGAATCTTCTTGAAGCTGCGCGTTGTCTCCGACTTGCGCCGGCCGCAACAGCAACGTGAAGCAGCACCAGTCAACAGAATCTGATCCGTATGTTTCTGACCAACATGGCAAAACATGGTTCCATGGTCGTCATGTGTTGCAGCAACAATGCTTCGATGAACACTCGTTTGTCCATCAATGCATATATTCCACGAATATCGGTCACCGGATCCGTATTGAACGACTGTCTTAAAATCATTGCTGGCACTGATTCGCGCACAGAATGCTCTTCGCTGAATGTGTAACTGAAGCGGCTTCTGTTAATGGTCAAACGACGCTCGTGCTGCTTCCAGGCGCAGGCGCACCAGCATTCACGGAGGAGTCGGAAGACGCAGAAGGCAAGGTGGAGGTGCTTGGGCGTGAGCCGGTGCAAGGTCACGCGTTGGTTCGTTCTGCACACTCATGGTCCACCAGCCAGGCAATATTAGGCCTGGGGGCCAGTAAGATGTGGGTTTTTGTATCATATCGTCGTTGCTCCATCTTGGTGGCGCATGCCTTCCGTCTGTCGAGCGAGTCGTATGCTTTCATGTAGAGTCAGGGCATGACTCTCAGACCCAACAGGTCCGCTAGGGCTAGGCAGCTAAACTAACTAAAAGTTTCAGGGCTCGTCGGCATTATCCCAATCGTCTGCGACGCAGAGCGCAACCGGCAAGGATGCAGGTGATAGAAGGCTGGGTAGAGGATAGCACCCCGAACGAACCAGGGTTGCACTTCGTGTTAGGTGCTTCCGTCACCCAACAAGGACGAGATCGATGGGGCGTTTTCCAAGGTGGATCCGTCGGGTTGCAACTTTGGGCGACATTGGGGGCAGCAATGACACCCGCCACCAGGTCTTGCTTTGGGATTTACTCCCGCCCAACGAAGAGCTGGCGTGTGACTCAGAGATTTAATCAGAAGAAAATATTGAGACCTGTTGACATGCTGAAGGGGAGATGGGTCTAGGAGCTATTGGGACTGCAGCTTTCTTGAGCCCTTGATCTGTGGACTTCCCAGTCCTGAAGCGCAGGGAAGTAGCCGGGAAATACTCGCAATCACAGAACAAAACTAAAATCATAGTGTCCCTTCGACCCTTCAACTGTTCCGAATGCATTCTAATTGCTCCGGCTGTTTGCCTCTTTGCAACTGGTTACTGGTTTGCAAGCTTCCTGCAGCCCGGCTCGTAACAGCAGAAGCGGAAACGGCCCCAACCTAATCTGTAATTAAGTGCGGGCAGCTGGCAGAATCGTGCGTGGCTGGACGCGGCGCCTGGTTTTCCGCATAGTAAGACTCGACTGGTTTGCACCGTAATTGCAGACGGTTGCAGTGCGGCATGCCTTCACAGGCCGGACACTGTTGTCGCCTGCAAGCAACGGACATACGAGACAAATGTCTGCAAGTTTATTTGATTTAGGTGGATCATCATCATCATCATCAACAGGGCCGGTGGGTTCTGAGGTTCCAACTCGCATGCGGGCGCGATTCAGTCCGAACAGGTTCGTCAGTTTGTTTGTCCCGACTTTCCCTGCGTGGTTCTGTTTTATAGCCAACCTTCAGCTGGATCCTGAAGCTGTTTTGGTCTGCTGGCCCCTTCTTAGCCTGAAACATGCCAAAGGTCGTGCAGTTTGCTGCCGCACAAGCTGCGGCACCGGCAGTCGAGGGTGAGCTTGGCACTGGGCGGTTCGTGAGTGCCAGCTTCTGGGGATACGGCGCTGACAGCATGTCGGGTCATGCTCTTCGCACCGACATCCGTGACCATGAACGTCGCATGATCCTTTCCGACACTGCTGCATTGGCTCAAGAGGGCAGAAATCATTCAGCTGGACACCGACCTTCAGGTTGGTCGGCTCGAAGGCCCCGGCTCGTTTGATATACCTGGACCTGTCCCGAGCTTGGCACCAAACGTGCTGGGGTGAGACGGTGGTAATGTAGCATGCATGCAAGGGTAGCCTCAAAGGCTGAAGTGTAGCTAGCTAGGCGCGCAGAATCACCCTGCTCTTAGCGGAGAAGATCTCAAGATGTTTTTGTTGCAAAGCGTGCCACAAGTGGCAGTCTCCCCAAGACCACTCACTCGGACAGGTCATGGCGGGGGCTCAGACTTCGGAGGCCCATCCGAGCTTGTCTTTTTCACAGCTCAACTTCCAAACTCGGGCACAGAGCTGTTCTTTAGGTGGATGCAATCCTCAAGGGCTTCCTGACGGACTACCCCACCGCCACTAGACTAGCCTTACGAGTACAGCAACAGGGAGCTTCTGCCCTCCCGGTTGCTCTGCAGCCATGCGGGAAAAAGTGTCGCGTTTTACTCTTCGGAACATGACGGAATGACAGTAAGCTTGTTTCGTGCGCGCAGACGCCGGAACCATTAAGGTGATCGGCTTTGTGGTCATCAACTCGGACGGCATCCCCACAAAGTGGTATCTTGGATAAGCAGCCGTGTCAATGTTCAGGCTAGTTCTGATTCGGCATGGGACGTCTGCGACAGCACCATACCGCGCTTCTTGGGACTGCAGCGAAGAAGGTGACTCCAAATGGACATGCAGCAGGAGTTGTCAAAAGAGCGAGATTAAGCATTCATCGTGCTGAAGACGTTAGAATCGAATAAACGCCGAGGCACGAGAGCATGCCGTATGAGAGGGTGCCGCCCTCAATATGCCAATGTGTGCCGATTCTGTCCGCGGGATCAGACTCGCTTCGGTAGATTTCCATACAGGGTATGTAGCCACCATGGGCTGTAACAAGCTCGTTTTGTGGTCTTAGCTAGCATCGTGCACGCCACTTGTCCCAGGCTGTCATCTATGCCGCCCTCATGTCCGACTACATTGCCCACTGCAAGAAGTGCTTGAAGGCAAAAGCAGTTCGTCAATCGATTTTAATGAATCTACTCAGATGTGCCCTCTCTCGACAGCCCTCTCTCCTGCCTTCATGGAACAGAGCTATCCATGATCCATCTAGCATCCCGTAACCGCAGTGCACGTGAAGTCGCATTTGAGAGGGCTACAGGCTTGCGCACTTCGCCTTTCTGACCGCTATGAGCCATTATGAGACCCTGACCCCCTGCAACCGTGACTTGGTGAGGAGCTCCTGACTGGTCCTGCGGACCCTTGATCTGATACTTTCAGTTCTCTATCACGAGTCGTAGCGAAGTGCAGCCTGCAGTGCGGGCTCGTCAGCATGCTCAAGCCTAGGGGTTAGCCACGAACTTGAAAAGCTCAGGAAAGCGAGCTCGCCAATGTACGCTTGAGAACCCGCGAGGGCACCGAAATCATCTTTGCCGCCTGGTCTGAAACTGTTGCAATGCATCTGCTTGACCAGCTGGGCCGACTCGACGGTGTCACAGGACGTAGTATGCTTCATGGCCCGTGTCGCATGAGGTCACCCTGCCAGAGTACACGCTGGCCGTGATCCAGTCACTTCGAACAAGAGATGCTTTCCACGTAGCTCCTGAAGAATCACAACCGGCGAAATCCCTTACATGCTGAGACATCTGCAGACCTTACATGACCGACAAGATCTTGGTGATCGTGTCTGCTGGATTCTGCTCGCTAGTGTTTTGCGTCTTGCTGCCGTTGCTTTCACCTGCACCCCTCAACTGATAAGAACCTCTCTGCTGTTCGGCGTGACTTCATCTGAATCTGGCTGGTCAGGTTGCATTCAATTGTACTGGGCCTAGCCGACAGCGTGTTCGAGCAATACCTCGAAGCCAAGGAACTGCACCGGCAAACCATGGGTTCAAGATGAGGAAGCCGCAGCGGGCGGAGGCGATCAACCGAATTTCTTTCAGAGGGCTCCGGGCTCCTGTGTCACGAGGTTGTGTTGTTTCACTATATGTTGTACTGCTCGAGTGAAGCTCTGGCTGGGCCGGACTGTAGCAAAACAGCCCTGCTTCACTGGGATTGCTGCTTGAGGTGGTGGAGGCGAAGGAGGCGCCTGAGCCCGTCTGAGGCTGGTCCAGAGTTTCTGCAGGGGTGACAGAATCCGGTTTGCTGTGGCATCTAGCTCAACAGAGCTGCCGCTGTAGCAGATCTTTTACTGCCGTTTGCGGGTAGAGCATGGTACTCCTAGTCTTACGCAATCATCTGGACATATGTAATTACAGCAGAGCAAGCACAGGGTGAAAGAGAAAGCTGCCCGGAGTTGTCTAGGTGCTGAAAACTGATACGAGACAGAGCGTATGGGGTAATTATTAATGAACGGGTATAATGGTATAATGTCCCGTGTCCGAAAAGCAACCTCGGGCAGCGGTCCGGCTGCGTTCCTGCAAAAAGCAGGGGCCCACTGCCACGGACAGGACCTGTGAATTCACACGCATTGACGTTTGAGCCGTGCTGAAAAGTGTTGGCTTGTTGGGGCATTTGTCCAGGCGCTGCATCGTAGATGAAGTCTTCTCCAAGCGCGGCATCGCGCTATCCCCAAAATGGATGGACGTCAGCAAACTTACATCCTGAGGCAGACGCCGGAGAACTCGCAGCACGGGGCTAGCAAAGGCTCGGCGCAGTTTCGAAACCGAGTCTGCCTACATGACGCTTCAGGGCTACGTGTGATTGAGGCTGCTTGCGACAGCGATCTGGATTTCAATTGAGAAGAGAGCCTCTCTGAGGTTGCAGCCCCAATTGCCCAAGCCCATAAAAGAAAGAAGGCAAACACCAGGAACAAAGCCAAGACAGAGGTTTGCAAGGATCGGCACTGGTTCTCAAGCGTGCTTGCAGGGTGTGTTCGAATAGCACTCTCGAAGGTACATGCAGACTTTTCTTCGACGGAGAGTGTTCCTGTCCAGCCACAGCAGCAGAAACAGCGCTGGTGATAATGCTCGCAGATGCCAGGACAGACGAATGTCAACTAAGTAGATATCCTAGATGGAAAGCAGACGAACGCACAGGCTGAACGAGGCAAGCTCAGTGGGTAAGCGTGTTGTGAGATATAGTCTGCATCACTCAGCTTAGGCATGGCACGCCCCTTGTTAACACGAATGAGACGCCTTTGAAGCCACAGCCTTGCAGGCCCGACCGAGCTCTCGACAGGCGACCCAGAGGTGTGCCTTCAGCATCGCTATCGGTCTCGCTCTAGACTCTAAGGCTGGGTCCTGTCCTTTCGAGTTGGGAGACGCATGGCCAGGCAGAGGAATTCCAGGAGCCGGTCGAGAAGTCAAAGGCATTGTGTCGGGCGGGTGGCAAAGAAGTCCAGCCTGCCTTGCAATATGGATAGCCATCACATGCATGGCATGCAGCTTTGTTCCCGCTGGTTGCATTGCATGGTACTTGCGGCGCCAGGCTTCTCGGCCCCGTCGAGTGGACGGTTCCACCTTCGTCCGTGCTGAGCGACGTGCAGACTGCGCCGCAGATCTCAGAAAAGGCATGTGCGTCCCGAGAGACTGCACTCCGCGTGACGGTAGTTGCCAGGATTGGGTAGTTGTGGCAAAAGATTGCTGTTACAAATCTGCTTGTATGTCTAACTTCTTGCGAAACCCTTCCGGACTGACACCTATCGTTCCCACCTCCAGCACCTAGAAGCTGAATCTGCATGTTTGTTGAGCTTGATATCACTTTCGTAAACCGTGGCTTTGAACAGCATAGGTCGTGCTGTGTGCCAGGGCGAGAATCTCGCATCCTGCGGTTCCTGTCGTGTGATTGTTTTCAAGGTTCTCAAACCCTTCGAGGACGCAGATGCTCTGCATCTGAGTTGCTGGGCACCTAGAAATCTCGAAACAGAGTTTTACAGGCAAGGCAGCTGCGTGGGTTTGCGACAGAACTGCTAGCTGCACGAACTTTGCTCGTCGCTAAGATGCCGATGACTCTACGAGCCTGCACTGTTGGCAGCCCGGATGATGTGCACCACAAGACTCGAAGCCGTCGTCCGTCGTCCTGCAAGGCATGAATTGCAAGAAGATTGGTCACTTAGTCAGCGCTTTGCCGGCCGATAGCTAGTTGCAATTGGCCAAGACCTAATCTCTGGCAGCTGCGTCTTGGGCGCACTCTTGTTTGTGACAATGATGTCGTTGTGCATCGTCATGTTCTGGCACCAGTGACCCCGCCCTTCTATCATTGCGGCAAGGTTGGAATTCAGCGCAAGAGCTGCAGGCAGTGAGACTTTGACTATTGACGGAAGCCGATAGTGGTGCACAGAGCCGTGAGCGCTGTCCAAACAAAATCGTCGGTCGTAATGACTGCGCTAGCCCCTGGATGTGACTGCTTGTGATGGACAGGTTTTGGGAGGTTCGAGACAAGTTCTTGTCTCCACTGTGCCCATGACCTCGGGAGGCCTCTCTGCCGGTTCTGCGGACAAGACTTGATGAGCCAAGTTGAAGGGGTTTAAACGACTTCGCAGCTTGTGCGTGGTACGTGCCCGAGGTCTGAAAGTTTACTTAGGCGCTAAAGGGCTCTGCCGATGCGAAGCGATTCATGACTCTTGATACTCATGTGCCTCGAGAGTTTGTCGCCAATAGGATTCCAGTTTGGAGGTTTGGAGATCACAAGCCACCTGCTTCCTAGACCCTCGCTGATTACCGTTCGAGGAACTTGCAAAGTTTTCCTGGGTCTTTCTCGTAGGCGAAATTTGTAGAGTAGCTGGTCCTCCAAGTTACAGTTGATGAGGGGAAAACTCCTCGTATCCTCGTCCGAGTAAGGGAGGGCGGTAAGCCCTAGGACCTCAACCACTGCCAGGTGGCGGCCGTTTTCGATTTGACTTCCGCTTGAGCTCTGGGAGTGGTGCAGACGCAGCCCCTTTGTTTGAGGCAGGACTTGTTCAGTTCGTTTTGTTGGGCAGAGGAGGCATGCTGCAAAGAGGGCAAGGGACAGGAAGACGGCGAGGTGGTGAAGAGGGCAAGGTCTGTCTGTCGAAAGTCATTGCGCCCGTCGACGACAGCCACTGAGGCTTCTTCAGCTGATCGCGCTTGGGTGGTTGGTTTCGGTGGAGTTTTCCGCACATCCAATCTCTTGTTCCATGATTTCTCTGCCGTCAGCACTATGACATACAGCAGAGTCATCGCCGGGAGTGCAGGGATGTGACAAGCATTGCGTGCGAGTCACACTAGAATCACTAGAAGTTGCAGGAATCGATTCCGAAATGAAAATCACGTCCAGAAATAAGGGATGCGTCAAACTTGAGATTCTCATCACAGCCCTACGGTTTATCTTCAGCGCTTTGTGAACAAATATCAGCCCAAACCCAACACAGCATCAGTTGCTTTGGGCCGATTCGACCATCCAGTACATGCGACGAAGCAGCCCGCAGTGGGATCTTGCCGCCATGGCAGTCGCTACCTCAGAGATTTCAAGATGGGCTGGCACACGTTCTGGCTGCGTCAGGCTAAATCTGCCAAATTGCGAGCCTGTATGCATCATGTTGCATGCACGCATTCCATAATGTGTGGGGGCTTGCATGATGTCATTACATCGGTGCCCCTCCAGATCTGCCCATATGGCCGCCAATGACCTCGCCGGTAAAACTTCGGATATCAAGAGTCGGCAGCTGATGTGGAACGAACAATCCAGCTCATCGACCAAATGAACGTCTCCACTTTCGTGTCACTTTCAATCTCGCTTGCTCTCTCGCTCTCTCTCTCTCTCTCTCTCTCTCTCTCACACCGACCCCGGACTCTGACTATGGGCTACAAGCAAGCAAGCAAGAGAGACCTCCGCAGTTCAGGGGAAAGCAGAGGGGAGAATGACCCCCTCTCCAGGCCGCAAGTCAGCGACAGAGTGAGGTCTTCTGTCTGCCCAGAGCCAGAGCCAGGAAAATCGAAAAATCCCCGAGGCCGAAGGCGCTCCACGGTGGCGAGACAGAGGCTCAAACATCTCTTTGGAAGGTTTTGGAGATTCTGGAGACTCTGCAAGGCTGTGACATGAGCTGTTTCGTTACGCCTCAGCTTCCACATGCTCAAAATTTGGAGACTGTTTGGCAGTACGAAAGTGTATCATCGCTTGATTGACGCGGACGTCCCTTGTGTTTGCCCCATTCTCATACACACTTCGATGTGCCACGATGAACATAGCTGACTCCGGAGTCGTAACAGCAACAAGCCTCGATCCATAAAGCATCCCGTGAGTCGTGCTACGAACGCTTCTGCCACGCAAAGCACACGTGGCAGTCGGCTCCATCAACCTGCACGACCTAACGGAAAAATCGCCATCCTGCCGGATGCAAGGTAGAAACTGAGAGAAGACGAAGGCTGCAGGAACGAACGAAATGCATAAGCACCTGCTGTTGCACTTAACAATAAATGTCAACACTTTGTGCTGTAGTCATGGCGCATGGAGGTCGTTCAGCTCAACGCTTGGGTTTAGGGCCCAGTTCCGTCCAGCTTCACCAGCAACTGTACAGCCAAGTGGCTTACTAAGTTAGAGGTGGATTCTCTGTTCTCGTTTTCTCATTCATACTGCTGGCTGCTGCAGGCTCGGGCCCTCGAGCTCCTCCAGCTCCTCGCTTACCTTGGCGTGGGCGCACCCGAGAAGCTGCAGAACACCATGGGACGCACAGCCATGACCCTTGGGACCCATGGAGCATTGCAGCTGGTCGTAATCCCTGGAGCAGTGGTGATTTCGGAGATCCTTGGAATGGCTGGGCAACCCTCGACAGCGAAAACCCATGGGAAGACTCCTGGGATGGGTTTGCGGTTCATAGTTCTGATACACGGCCGTTCTTCTTCGCACCGTTGAATGAGCCGTTGAACGTGCCGCCCCCATCGGTACCAGTCCATTCGCGCGAACCAGGCGGGAATGGGCTGCGGCTAGGTTGTGGCGAGAAGTTGGTGAGCTGATACCTTCTACTCGGAACAGAATCAGAGAGACAGAGAGAGAGAGAGAGAGAGAGAGCACTAAGCCCTCCGCCGTGGCAACTGAAGTCTCGGGCAAAACCAGGCCAGCTTGGCCCCTGGCGAGCGACGTCATCAGGCAGCCAGCCAGGCAGCTTCGTGGCAAGCAGAGATTCCTGCGTCACGTTTCGACCGCCGCAGGCAATGAGTGAAGCAGTTGGACCTCTGTAGTCAAATTTTCGGGACCTGAGGCCCAAGCACGAACCTGAAACCTGCACTTGCGCATGCTTGCAGCTTCTGTGCGAGATGGGCATGCCCATCGGGCCGCCGTGGTGTAACTGTAGGCTCCTTTATGCCTACCTTACGTGAGGGTCCCCGGTTGTCAACCGGTTTAGGTACGCGCTTGAGAACCTTAAGGTTCGTTTGATTGACTTCCATGTGTCCTGTCGCAAATCTAAGTCTCGCATGCGTCCTGGCAACAGACCTGCGTGTGCTTACTTCGGAGCTCATTGAAGTCCGGGTGTCGGCCTACATCTACAAACGCCAAAGAAGTGGGGTCGGGCTCGAGACACGCGCTTCCAGGTCAGAGCCCAGAGTTTAGAGAAAACCCTAGGTTTGCTGGCCATTCTTCTTTTCGTTGGTGTCTGACGCTTCGATGGTACGGACTGTGGGTTCTTCACTCCCGGTGTTTGATATTCTGAAACTTGTACGCTGATGTCTCCTCTCGTTTTTTTCACCCCACAGCCATGGACCACTTGGTGTGGAAGGATTGCAGGTGGCGCTGTGCATCCTTGACAACTGTGGTGTTTTTTCTACGAGCAAGCTGGCTGGGCCGGCCAGGAGAACTACGACCGCATACCACCAATCCCCGACACGTTGCCACATAATACTCCCGACAGTATGATTGGTTGAACCCTCATCACAACACGTGTGTGTTGACACCTTGGGCCCTGCTGTGCACAATTTCATGAAACAACGAGGCACTGGCGTCAATGTCCGCAACCTGCCGCGACATGATGTTCCGATGCCTGTGAGAGCCCCAGGTGCAGGTGTTCGAACGACTCCCTTTTGCAGTGCAGCGGACGATTAGCATGCTCAGCCTAATGACCGTTTGCGCAACGTTCTTGACATGCTGAGGCCCCGAGAATTGCCTTCACCGAAGCGACCCGTCAGGCAGCCGGTTCTCAAGAGCATCAACCCAGATTCCACTTTGAGTTACTTCGATGTTAAGCCACCAAAGCCATGCCTTGGAGCTGCACTCGCGAAAGCGCAAAGTATGCCAAAGTCAAATGTGCGATGCGCCGGTTTCATCGAGCTGTTTCTTGCCGTGCGCAGTGGCAGGATATGGGCCAGAGCTCATTGGAGACGACATGGATGGGCTCTTTGCGTACAGAGGCCGGAAAGAGCGCCTACGTGCATGAGCACGGGGTAGATACAGCTAGTTACGGCTAGATGAGTCGGGAGGCATCAACGTTTGTTTTTGCCGCCTTTACCGTCTGCAGATGCTTGCAGGCCGAGCAATGTTTCCCGTTATTGGCGAAGTGCCTTGTAGGAGCCGGTCATTTTGCCACCAAGAGCTCCACCGCCGTCGATTCCTCCTCCTCGTCCACCGTACTTCGAGATGTCGCAGGTTCACATTGACATGATCCTTTACATGACTTTTTCCATGCATTTGCACACCTTTCCGCGAATGTGCACTAAGAACAAGCTGCGTCACCACGCTCTGCAGGTTGTGTTTCATCGCGGCGATAGCTTTGGTCATGGCCTTTTGGACCTTTTGGATTAGAGTATTAGAGAAGTGTCATTAAGCCAGAATGGTGGCAATCTGCAAGTCGGAGCGGAGTCTTGTTTCGGAGTTTATCGACCGGTTCTATGACCAACTCTGAAGCTGCTTTTTGTGCGATGCAGTCAGAAGACCGGAATGCGCGACACGTGCAGTGATTAGCGCATCGTCGTCATGTAGCCGTGGGGACTGGTAGAGGTAAGGGCAGTGGAAGAAGGAGCAGCAGCAACCAATCACCATCACAAAGGCCGGGACCGGGACAGTTTCGTGTCCGGTCCTCCGCCTGGTGCTCCGATTCCTGGCCCGGTTCCACCGATTCCACCTGGACTTGTCTTTCCCGGAGGCAGCTCCGAAGAGTAGTTGCGCCACATGTAAAATGCACGTTTGTGCTATTGAATTGCTACAGAGCTTTCAGGGTCATCTGGTGAAGTGTAGCCATGTAGCATTCGTTCCCAGACGGGGGCTTGCTGTACACCTGATATCACTTCGAACGGAGTGGGCTTGTGTCGACCACACGCTGCAGAATATCTTCTTGGGGGCCATGTGCCCCACATGTTGCAAATCGCACCAAGTCGGGCAAAGCCCGTTGGAATGACTTCCCACTAGCATTCAGCAGGTGTTGGCCTCGGCGTTGGCGTCACTGTCTGGGACATCGGAAGTGTTGCCTCCTTGAGCTCGACCCGATCTTTGGCGAGGGGAGTGATCGAAGCCCACACAGTGTCCTGCCACAAGCATTGAAAGACTTAGAGTCAGAGATTGAGCTTCCGAGAGACCACAGGATGTGCGGTTGAGCTGTCATACAAAGCACGAGCCTGTCTTCTAAAGTCGAAGTTGCCTGAGCTGAGGCACTTTACACCTTCAAGCAGAAGGATGTGCGAGGGGAGGCCCCGTTATGCGTCTCTTCCTACTGGAAAGAATCATTTTGTCTCGCCAGGCTTGTGATTCTGCATCAAAGAAGTTCCTCGGCGTGATATCCTTCGCATAGAATTCGGCTGCCTGGATGGGCCCGGCAACTCTTGATATGGTAGGGCCAGCTGAGTCAGCTGAGGCGAGGGCATGTTCGATTTGTTCCAAAAAACATGTCGCAATCGGGATCCTGCGAATTGTAGCTACAGTGCCTGACGGTCCATGGTTCTTAGTTCACTGATTTACAGTCCTACCTACATGACCTACATGTCGGTCGCCGTAGAAAGCATGGGACATTCAGCGTGAAGCCGTGCCTGCCCGGTGCGAGTGTGCGAGGCTGCGAGTCGAAACTGAAAGACAAGGAATATGCAGTGTGGGAATCCCGTCTGACAGTGCCAGTCTTCCAACGCTCCTGTGGCCAAGGTGCTGTATCTGCTTGGAGGATTTCGTCGAGGGGCAGCAGCTCCGCATCCTACCATGCTTTCATAGGTACCACCAGTGCTGCATCGATGAGTGGCTTTGTCGCAGCGACGAATGTCCGTTGTGCAAATTCCGTATCACAGCGGACGAGACTTGGCCTTTTGGAGGCTAATGCTTTGGCCTGCAGGCTAGCACATGGAAGTGTCAAGTTGCTCGCGATGGGTGAGTATGCTTGAGAATTTGATGTGTAGTCGCCCCGAGTACGGTGAGAATCAGCATGCTTATCTATCAAATCCGGAGCTGAACCAAAACGAACTTGGTGTGAGGAGTTGCTTCAGAGACACGTGAAAGAGTCCTGCGATGCCGGGTTCCATTAAACGCTGAGGACACAGCTTTGATGGATTCCATTGAAGTCTCATCTCACGGCTCGGCCACGCCACGATCACCACCGCTCGCCACCATCGAGAGCGGGAGCGAAGCAACCGAGGAATCGGTGCCCAGTGCTGCAAAAGACACGCATCTCATGCTGTCAGGAAGTGGTACTTCGAAGCCAGACGGTGAAGCAAACTGGCTTCCGAGGTACAGGGTAGAGATCGCTTTTGGTCGCATGCAGTGGGGGTGAATGATGCAATTCACGACGACGACTTTCTCAATGCTGGGGCCTGGCGACCGGTCTGCAAACGGAGAGATTTGCAAGGGCTAGGACGGCTAGGGCTAGGACTCCACCAGCAAGAGAATGCCTCTTCAATGGGCTCCCGCCGCTGCCAGGCCGCCGCTTCGAGATGAACGGCAGGCAGGCTCGCCTTCGCCGGCATTTATAGAGCACCTTGGCAGCAAAAAGCTTGGCAGAGAGGACAGACAAATGCAAGCAAGATAATGCCATTCTTGTGGGCAGTCGAACCAGGCGGACCTGGGATCGCTTTGGTGGAATCAACACGCAAGTCTCGAATCTCACTGCTGCCATTCAAGCAGAAATGCATGAAGCACCTGGAGCTCATCAGGCTTGTTCGCGCTGTGCTGGGTGTTAGCAGGGCATGTTCAACGGAATGCTCTGCCGTACTCTGTCGATGAGATCGAGCCGTACCTCCTCATGCCTGCATGTGATTCCCCAAGAATGGTACACACTGATTATGGGGTTCGGAGAACAGAGAATTGGTTAGTGTCAGGCAGCATATTCCGCCCTCTTGCTGTGGGCAGAGCATAGGTTGGAAACGATTGAATCCCGCCAGTGCATTGGGCGAAGCAGTCGGGTCATGTATCTGAACCCGACAGCACATATGGGAAAGCATATTGGGGACAGAGAATGCGGAGAAGGGTTGTCTGCCAGTACATGGGTGGACCGATTGCTGGTAACCGTGTCTGAACCAAAATGGGTGGTGGTGGTCCAGCCTCCTGCGGTTGTCAAGGTCGTGGTCGTGCTGGTCGTGAATTAGTACGTCCTCATTCTTGCTTATATCTCTACCGGGATGTGCCCTCTCCCTCTGTGTCTCTCTCAGTCTCTGAAGTGTACCATGATCAACTTGGGGCAACACGCCTTCATGTGGTCTAGTGCCAGGCCATGACAGTTGATTCTTTGGGGAGCCCTTGGCAAACCCCGTCCCTTCTGCTGCTTGCCCCTGCCACATGCAGCAGGTCTGAACGAGGCGCAAACTGTCCGCGAATTGGCTTATTTAAGGGGCTGCGCCCAGAGTCGGGCAACGCAGGCAGTTCATTCATTCATGCATTCCTTAATTCATTCAATCATTCATTCGTTCATTCATTCATTCATTCATTCATTCATTCATTCAATCAATCCATCAATCAATCATTCAATCAATCAATCAATCAATCATTCGTTCAATCATTTCATCATTCGTTCATTCAATCATTCATTCAT